CAAATATTTGTATGTGTTAGGTTTCACCTTAGGAAGTTCCATCCCTCTGAATTGTCCCCTGTCTCTTGAATACAGTGAAAGCACTCATTTTGTTTACCAGTTCACACAGATATCACTGGATTATGACGTGTGATTGGAGCAAGAATAGAGGTGACAGCCTTGGTGCATGCACTGTACTAAACAAAAGTGGCAGGTCCATTTTTCCTTTTCTTAAAGACTCCCTTTAAAGTACTGGAAAATGCCATTACTGACATCTCCTTTTTAAGAATTCTTGTTTTATAGCTGTCAGGCTGATGCTTTAATTTCAGCAATAGCCAGTACAGACTCCTTTTTTAACATCTACTGGAAGCATTCTTCTGTCAGGTCTGTGACTCAGAATATTGAAGGCTACGGGACAAAAGCCAGATACAAGTAATAGGAATTTTCAGCAGAAGGTCAGCGATAATGGCATCCCCTGTGCTCCTCTCATGGCAGGTGCAGCTAAAAGTGGACCTGTCATTAAAATTCATATTGTACATTATTCAAAAAAGGCATGTGTCAGCATAACTCAATCTCATTTTTTTACGGCGTAATTAAAGTATTTCTTGCTCAGCCTAGATCTCAGCTTCTGTCTTTTAATCATACTGGAAGCTTTTCTGTAAGAGAATAGGAGCAGCAGGGCATGAAGTAAGCATAACCCGCACAGTTCATTTGCAAATATGTCCCATGCACATATACTGTAAAATAAAGGTGCTTAATTAATTAACCCACATTAGAAAGATAGTTTACATTATGCCCATATCTTTCACAAAGCTTAAAAAAAGAGTATTTCCCCTTTAAAGTTTTCTAAACTTTTTCTAGTCAGGCCAGCCCTTGCATCCCATAATAATTGACCCACATATCAGTTGCTATCAGGATTGTATTTACCATAATGGTATTCATAAGTCACTGGATAGGACAACACGGTTGGTGAGGCCGAACTAAGCTTCAGAATTAACAATAAAACAGCAGGGTGTAGCGCTTAAAATAAAAGTGAACAAACCACTGACCAGTAATGGTGATCCAAGATGGCTGCCGGGACCAGTGTGGTGCGGGCAGCGTGGCGTACTAGTGCTGTAGCCCCTCCCTGACACGTTTTGTGCGATGACATGTACTCATAGGGGGTCTGCAGTGGTTTGTTCATTTACTTGGTTAATAAAGCACCCTCTGTTTAACCTCCTTGGCGGTATGATTCTTTCCGTTTTTTTTGTGCTGAAAGCGGTACCATTTTTTTGCATGGAAATATGTAGTTTTTTTATTGTAGGCTGTAATTTTTAGGAATAACTCACTGAAACCTGTCTGAACAAGAGTCTATTAAACATTCCGGATATGATAAAATTTGAAACACGAAATCATAAATTATAATTTAATAAATAATCATAAAAAATAAATAATAATAATAAATTTAATTCAATAATATAATCAAACCAAAAACACTGAAATTTGAAATACAGAGGCAAATTCGCACATCGCTGAGCAAAGTCGCAAAATCGTTTTCAGTGTTTGATGACGAATTTCCCCACGAATCATTATCACTCAATTCTGCAAGTGGTTCTGATTTACTATCGCTGTTCTAAAACCGCTTTTGACGTAAAGGGACGCTTTTTGGACGCCATGGACTTTTCTAAGTTTCCAGGCAGAAAGAACATTCAAAATGCAGGCAGGGCACAGGGCAAAGCAGTATTGACAAAATGTATGTGAAATGCATTGAAACAGCAATGACAGCAAAAATGACATTTTTTTAAAATTTCAAATTTCCCGCCGGTTCCAGCGCCCGTACGTCACGACGTCACAGGGACCGGAACACAGAAGCCGGATGCCGGCATCGGCCGGAGACGCTGTAGGGGGACACATCGCGGGAGCGAAGGACAAGGTAAGTGCTGCAGGGACCCCCAGAGCAGCGCCGCATGGTAAGCCCGAGTGTAGCTCAGGGTTACCGCTCTTGGTGTAGAAATTTTACCCCGAGCTACACTCGGGATTACCGCTAAGGAGGTTAAATGGTATCGCGCTATTAGCCTCCTCTTTTCTGAGCTCTCTGAGAGCTCTTACCATCCACAGAGGAGGCAAGCTACCCATGGGAAGTAGATGTCAGCATAAGAGGGATACCAGACTTGACCAGACCTTTAAAGGGGACGCCCTGGTTCTTTGAGATTGATATCTCTAAATGCGCAGTGTGATTGTGTATCTGGTGAGTGCGCAGTCTTTACACTTTTTTATCACCAATCTTTGGGACCAGCTATTTGGATCCGGAAGACATCTAGGCACCTTAATACTTGGACTTTTACCTGGCACTGTGCACATGGCGAGTCACTGATTAGTGACACATTACACCTATTTATTTATTATATATGCATTTGCACTATGTCACTTTATCACTCATTCTGAGACTGTTATTGTTAATATTGATATATTGATGCTTAAAAAGTCACATCCACAGGCTGTTATCGAGACATGATATATGGTTTTATATTTATTTTACCATGATTACTTTCATTAATGTCTTACACTTTTATTTTAAGCGCTACACCCTACTGTTTTATTGTCTATTTTGGAGGTTTTTGGTACCTTTTGGTGTTTAGCAGCTTATTGACTTTTAGCACTCACTTACCCCCCTTCTCTTACATAAGCTTCAGAATTAACAATATGTGATCACTTTTTTCTTTTTGCTTCTCTTTTCTGGTCACCTGTGGGCATTGTGGATAAATTTAGTAAAAAAACCTATAGAGATAAGGGGGTGCTGTGGATCATTACAGTTCAAGGTTTCTAGGTCCGTACAGATAAAAATGTAGCTCTGCATATAAAGCAGACCACCATTCGTGCATTCTGGCAGCATTTTTGCCTAAATAATCACGACATAATGGACAGGGCTTTTGCAAAAGGGCATCATCATCATTCAGGTGTGCATGGTCTAATTGCGGCCCTGGTTGTTATTAAAATGTTTATTTTTAGCTGATTCAGAAGACAGATCCTACCTTTTTCATCTTCACTTTATATATATTTCCCCCTCATGCTTAGAATAATACTGAATGTCGACCTATGAAAATGCAGGCCACTGTACTCATTTTAACACCATTCTCTGTCTGACCCTAGTCTGTTCTGTCCAGGGTCTAGTCTAGGTTCCTTTCAGATATCATGTGTGAAGCTCGCTATAACTGGCTGCTTTGTTTAATGCTCGAAGACAGACATAACCCTTATTTTTGACCCCTTCTTCTTTGCATCATAGTTTCCTATGGATCAAAGTTGTAAATGATATTAGTACTATGGAAGACCTTACGGTGTCACTACGCCACCAAGAAGAGTGATATCAAAAGACTTGGTTCTCTTGGACCCAGATTCAATATTCTGCAGTTTAGGAGGACCAATGCTCCTCTTCTGGCCACTGACCTATCCCAGGGTGGCAGGTTAGGGATTGACCCTACTTTCCCCTACCCCCTGCCCCATCCTTTTTACTTGCCTGCCTTTTTCACACACACACCCTTTTTTTTTTTTTTTTTTTTTTTTTTTTTTTTTTTTTCCCCTCTCTCTTTCCCTTGCTTTCTCTCCATTCTGCTCTGGAAATAATGTCCTTAAAACATACTGGTTGGACCTTGAAGAAGGGGATACACCCCGAAAGCTTGTCCTGAAAAACTGTATGTTAGTACAAATAAAAAAAGGATCACGGACAGTACTCAATTGTTCCTTAAGAGAAAACGTATGTGGGGCTTTTTTCTGCTCCTACCGCGGGCAAACCCAATGACAATAGCGACCACAATCCATGGAAAATCTATAGGATAACTGCCCAGGATCAATTAATGGATAATTTTACCCTGTACCTCCTTACCTAGGCATTTGTATTGATATGGCTTATCGCGGCTGTGTACACTGAAGTTGTTTTTTGGCTGTTTTTATGTTTTGTCAACCAAAATAAAAGAATAAAAATAAAATTATAGTTCCTGGCTGACCCTAATGAAATGAGTATGCCGATTAAGAGGCCTTCCTTCAGTATGACTTTATTTATTGTATGCTTGTCAAGGTGGGAAGATTAGCTTGACTGCCAGTTTACTAGAATTTTAGTAGGAGACCTGCAATGGCAGCTTTTGTATCTCTCTACATACATTTCCTTTAGGATAAAATGAGCAGAATTTTTGACCTCGGCAGAAGTTGTAGTGCCTCGGTCTTGGCTACAAATATGTATATTGAAGCACCACACCACCGCTAAAGGCTCCAGATACAACTTTATTGCAATAAGAGTCAAGGGGACAATCCAGAGAATAGCCAGCACATTTCGGGAGTCCAAAAATGCCCCCTTCACCACCGGGGCTAGAAGAAGCATAAGGACGTCTCCTTATCATATCCAAATATGACCTGTCCCCAACTGCAGGCAACCATTTGGTGTGCAGCTACATGTGAACAGCGACAGCCCTCCATTACTTTGTACAGGCTGAGCGGCTGCTGCTGTTTGCATGCACCTGTCACTCCAGCTACAAGACTTCACTGATTCTAGCTGAATCTGGTGTATGCGGGTAGACACCCATGTGAAGGATACCTTATATATCTATTCAATGTTACCTGACTTAATAATTTTTATACATCAAATACTATTGGCTTTTAGGCATTTGGTTTTAACTATGACCCTGAGGAGTAGATATTGTATTGTTATGGAGATGTCCTTATGCTTTTTCTAGCCCTGTTGAAAGGGGAGGGTTTTGGACCCCCAAAATGTGCTGGCTACTCTTTTGATTGTCCCCCTGACTTTTATTGGAAAAATTTTATCTGGAGCTTTTAGCACTGGTGTGGCACATCAATTCATATATTCATAGTGTGAAGGCCTAGTATAAAAGAACTATAGACAAATGTGAGAACCTGGTATGGCATGTTTTATTATTCAGATATATTACAACAATTACTCTGTTAAGTATGAAAAAGAAATGTGAGCAAACCTAATGAAAATTAATCTTTTTTTGTTTTCTTTTTTTTCATGGTGGGGTGTGACTCCTACATAGCATTGTGCATGGCTGCAAGCACAACAGGAAATGAGGTGAGTAATGCTGTTTGGGAGTTTAAGACTTTTAGCCCTGCTGATATTACACTTTTTTGTTTATATGTATAATGAAGTAAAATACAACTGTCAGGCTCAGAGAGTGGACTGGATCGATGGACTGAGCATTTCATTAGGTCACCAGTCGGTAGGATTGGCTTGAATAGTTTGTCTGGTTAACCACTTCAGTACCAGACACTTTTACCCCCTTCCAATCCAGGCCAATTTTAATTTTTCAGCTCTGTCGCACTTTCAATGATAATTGCGCAGTCATGCAATACTGTACCGATATAAAATTTTGATCATTTTTTCACACAAATATAGCTTTTATTTTATGGAATTTAATCACCACTGGGTTTTTTATTGTTTGCTATGTAAAGGAAAAAAGACCAATCGTTTTGAAAAAAAACCTTTCTTTTCAGTTTCTATTATAAAATTTTGTAAATAAGTACGTTCTCCCTCACTGATGTGCGCTTATGAGGCTGTACTGATGGGCATTGATGAGGCTGCACTGATATGCAGCACTGATAGACGGCACTGATAGGCAATACTGTTGGGGCTACACTAATAATCAAGGCACTGATATCGGCGCCCTGATTATCTGTGTACATGTGTTCCTATCACACTTGCCAGTTACCAGCTCTGCTTTCCTCGCTTTGTGGCAGCTTTGAGGAAAGTACTGCTGATAATCGGCAAGTGTGTTTACATTGTGATCAGCTGTGATTGGACACAGCTGGTCACACTCCCTTCCAGTCCATGCCAATTTTCATTTTTCAGCACTGTCACACTTTGAATGACAGTTACGCAATTGCGCAGTCACGCAACACTGTACCCACATTACATTTGTATAATTGTTTTTCACACAATTAGAGCCTTCTTTTGATGGTATCACCACTAGTTTTTTTGTTTTTGTTTTTTTATGCTATATAAATGAATAAATATGGAAAATTTAAAAAATAACCCAAAACAGTAGTATACTATTTACTGTGTGAAAGTTATAGTAAGCTCGAAAGAGCAGGGCCCTTGACCCCCTCTGTTTTTTTGTTTTGTTACTGTATTGTCTCATGTTCTGTCCCCCACTATAATGTACAGCGCTGAGAAAACCTTTTAGCGCTATATAAATAATGTATAATAATAACTAAGGATATATATCTGAAAACTGATCAGTTGAGACCCTAAAATGCCGGATGCTGGTATGGCGGTGATTAGGATGCTGATAACGTATGGCAGTAATCAGGACATTGGCATGAGGAATGGTGGTGATCAGGATGCTGGTATGGGGTATACTGTTGATCAGGATGCTGGTATTGTGTATGGCGGTGTTTAGGACGCTGGTATAGTGTATGGTAGTGATCCAGACACTGATATGACATATGGGGTGATCAGGATACTAGTATGGGGTATGGCGGTGATCAGGACACTTGTATGGGGTATGGAGGTGATCGGGAACCTGGTATGGCACATAGGGTGATCAGAACACTGGTATGGGTTATAGCAGTGATCAGTATGCTGGTATGGGCTATTGCGGTGATCAGGATGCTGGTATGGGGTATAATGGTGATCAGAATGCTGGTATGGCATATGGCAGTGATCAGGGTGCTGGCATGAGGTATGGCAGTGATCAGGACTCCGGTATGGTAAATGGTGATGATCCAGACACTGGTATGACATATGGGGTGATCTGGACGCTGGTATGGAGTATGGTGGTGATCAGGACGCTGGTAGGGCTTATGGAGTGATCAGAACGCTGCTATGGGCTATGGTGGTGATCAGGATGCTGGTATGGTGTATGGTGGTGATCCAGACACTGGTAAGACATATGGGGTGATCAGAATGCTGGTATGGGCTATGGCAATGATCAGGGAGCTGGTGTGGTATATGGCAGTGATATGGCAGCTGCAAATGAGTGCAGCCTCCAGTCCCATTACTTGCAGTGATCATTGCTAGGTGTACTTTGTGTGCTTCTAGCAGAGTAACCACTGGCTGTGTGGACAAACCATGAATAGTTGTGGCCACCGGCAACCTGTTAATTTTTTTTGAATGGAGCCATTGGCTGCACCTAGCTGCTCTCATCCTCAGCTGTAAACAAAAGCTTCCTGCTGCTATTATTCGCACCTGCCTTAATTGCTGGCGTAGATGTTGCCTTATAGCTAGTAGGATCTTTCTGACACAATCTCTCTGACATGAGCTCAAGGAAGGGGGTTTGTTTCCTGAAACGCGTCAACTTATCCCTATTAAGGGCACAGTATTGCGGTGACTGTTATTGCGGACCACTTATCCTGCTTTTAATTTCCTTTTGGTTTGTGAGTATATATCCATTATTTTACACAATAAATAAGTGGTGTACCATGGTAATGCACGATGAGAGTGTGTCCTTATCTGCTTTTGTTTACCTCTCTCATTTGTGCCAGGTACCCAAAACATTTGACAGAATTTATCCTGAGCCCTCTCCTCTATGCTTCGAAAGATGTGGGCATATGGGCACTTTGTTCCACTTATGATTGTTGGTCTGCAATAACAGCTTCCTGGCAGTAGAACATAGGCGGGCATGGACTAATATCCTATAAAAATTCTGAATTAACCTCTGCACACTGTCATATACACGTTTATACAAACTTTGCACAAAAACGGGGATTCTTAGTTCCCATACATTGCAATATATGTTTAAACTGGCCAACTGCATCAAAGTAATCCCTCTCTGGCCAGTTCTCACGCTGCTCTGCGAATGCAAATGCTCCAGTGAATCTAGTGCTAACATGGGGCAGACAAACACAAGCTGTAGGAGAGCCAACAGTCTGGCCACTGATCTGGACCATGCAACAGATGCAAGATATACCTGTGTGTCTATGGGCACAGGCAGCATGGCTTGGGATTGAGTTGTGCCACCATAGGAAGTAGCTTTCTATGGTGGCACACTGAGAAGAGCAGGAGAGCCCGTGGGGTCCCAAGGAAGAGGATGTTCAGAGCCGCTCTGTGCAATTCCACCTGTTAGTTACACCTGCTAGTTATTAACAAAAAAGAAAAAAAAAATGGAGTTTACAATCTTTTTAATCTGGCCAACTGCGTCAAAGTGATCCCTCTCCAGTCCCAAGTCCTTGGCAAGTCCCAAGAAAAACGCAAATGCTCCGTTGGATATAGGGTCAACATGGGGCAGATAGGCACAAGCTGTAGGAGAGCCGCAGGTACAGGTCTGGCTACTAACCTGGACCATGCTACAGAAAGATTATATACCTGATATACCAAACACTGCTGCTCATCCCTACACATACAGACGTACTGGAAGCCAGCAGGTTCATCATTTTACCTGGCGCCTCCTATAAACTAAATATACATGACCCACCACATTACAGTGCTGCTGTAGTGAATAGATCTGTGTTGAAATGACATGGGTGAAAAAATTGTTTGTAAAGAAAAAGTAAATTGTGTGATGCACATCAGCACTGTGGCATGCTAGCGAACATCAGTGGCTGTGCATTCCAAGGCTTTAATCTTGTATTCTTTCCTTGTACTCTCATACAAATGCCCACCTTTTCAGCTGCTGAACATGTGTATCCCTGCACATATGTATTGTGCATCCCGATGCAGGTAAACACGGCCCCTGCACAGGTGTACACTGTAGTATGCTATGTATGTAAAAGAGGCTCAGTACTAATAAATAAAGATCTTCAGCTCTTGTGGCTCGACTTCTAATGCCCTTGTGGGCTGCAGTATGTGGGGCCTACTACTAGAAGGATTGGAAACCTATTAATATTAAAAACATTTCAGAGACCATCACAATAGGGACCACAGCTTATTAAAGATAACGGAATGGATATGAAGTAATACCTATATAAGACAGCACTTTTGTTGTTTTCTTTGTCCTGATTAAGCATGAGATCGTGTGAAACTTATTAACAGGTCCTGTATTCATGTCCTGGTGTTTTGTGTGTCCTATGGATCAATAAATATACACTATATTCACCTATCCTCCGGTGTGCGGCTGACCCTTCTTCCTATTCATCCTCTAACCCGTAACATGTCCCATGTCCCAGGAGGTTGAAGGACAAGTCTACAAGCACAGCATGTCTTGCGTATGCGCAATGGGGAGCCAGCTGTGAAACAGCTGGAAGTCACAGCTGGCTTCCCACAGTAAAAACAGCAGCACCTGAAGACCAGTGGACCCGAAGATCAGTGAAGAACCGTCCTGGATGAAAACAGTGCTGGACTGCTTGACTGGCGAGGACCTATTTATTAAAAGTCAGCAGCTTCAATATATGTAGCTTATGACTTTTATTTTTTTTTTAGAAATTACCAAAGTTCCTCTTTAAGTGCTGCTTTAGAAGAGACTAGAATCAAACTCAGATACTTACACTAGTTTTCATTTAAATAATAAATGTAATACTTTTGTCATTATTACATAGATGCAGTAATTTGTGAATTTTTTCATCTGTTCGGAGTTCAGCTTTGAGTAAAATGAGTTTCAGAAAATAAACACATGTTTGTATATATTGGTCACGTCAGAAGTCATGGGGTGCGTTGTGATCAGAAATGAAACTGCATTGTTACAGCATTTGTCACAGTACTTGTTTAATGAAGATAAAAACAACCGACGGAGTTATTAATGAAGCTATTAGACTATAGCCAATGTGCAACTGTAATGCAGTCATTAAGAGGGTTTAGTAAACTCTTGTATGAGCATGAAGCCAGCCAATCCATTTAGGGATCTGCAGGTCTCCTGAAGTGGTAAAAAAAATCAGGAAAATTAGTTTTATAAAACGTTTTTTTTATCATTAAGGTTTTAGGTATGTTACATAACTGATTCCTGCAATTTGTCCAGTGCTGGTATGTAGACAGCTGGCATCATTGTGAAAGTAATGCACATAGTAACCACAAAGTTGCTTTTACCTTCATTCTCTGTAGTCAATGTCTTCATTTTATGGTTAGATGAAACCATATTATGGCTGTATTGAACATAGATGTAGATTTTCATTGGTCAGATTATATTTAGTTCTGTTGAGAATTGTCCTTTAACTCTAGTTACTGTGATGCTTTAAATAGAACTAAAGGCTCCTGTCCTGTGTCCTGTCCACTCCAAACCAGTCTTCTATCTAGTTATTATGTGATTCACAAGCCTCATGAAGTAAACACAAATTTTCCTTTGCCTTTCTTGATTGAGGCAATCCTCCTTCATTTGAGTCTCACACACTCCCCTTCCCAGACACTGCAGCTCAGTTTTAGCACCAGAGGCAGTGCTGCAAATCCAAAAATAAGTGGGCAGGACTAGGTGCTGATTGGCAAGCTACAGACTTGTAAATCTGCAGTTACAATGCCAGTAGTCATGCCCCATCTCACTGTAGTGCAAATAGATACAGCATACATGAGAGTGGCAACTCTGCTCTGAATTCATGAGCGGTGTAGCTTTGTTGCCACTCCATCACAAGAAACCACATTTGGATCACTTCACTTGCAGGCCTAGCAGGTATTTGTAGGACTTTGCAGGGGGGCTGTGAGAGAAACTGTAAGTGTGAATGCACTTAACATTAAAGTGTATCTTTTCCCAACATTTCATATTCCTGATATGTGTCTGCTGTACCATGTACTTGTATGAAAAAGCATCCTGTTCCTTGTATTTCCTTAATTGTATGAAATACCTTGTAATCCTGCCTGTCCCCCTGCTTTCCTATTTCAAACTAACCAAGGCAGAGCAGAGAAGCATATCCTTTCCATCGTGGTCAGTTTTCTGGCTGTGCCGGGAGCACAGCCTGCCTGTCCTCTACTGATCAAGGCTTATTCTGATACTCCCCCTTGCACAGCTCTTCACTGGGAAGCTCCGTGTACTGCGCTTTCTCTGCCTCCTGCTGACACACCACTCTTCAGTCTCCAACCCCACCTCTCTAAGCCCCTTATGTAGCTGAGAACAGAGATTATGTGATCACTTAAAAATATATTAAAATTATATACATACACACACTATATTGCCAAAGTATTGGGGAACCCCTCCAAATCATTGTATTCAGGTGTTCCAATCACCTCCATGGGCACAGGTGTATAAAATCAAGCACCTAGGTATGCAGACTGCTTTTGCAAACATTTTTGAAGGAATGGGTCACTCTCAGGAGCTCAGGAATTCAAGTCCATCCGTTAAATTTTCTTTCTACTAAATATTCCATGGTCAACTGTTAGTAGTATTATAACAAAGTGGAAGCAACTGGGAACAACAGCAACTCAGCCACCAAGTGGTAGACCACGTAAAATGACAGAGCGGGGTCAGTTCATGCTGAAGCGCATAGTGCGCAGAAGTTGCCAACTGTCTGCAAAGCTAAAGACCTCCAAACTTCATGTGGTCGAGAGCTTCATGGAATGTATTTCCATGACCGAGCAGCTTCATCCAAGCCTTACATCACCAACTGCAATGCAAAGTGTCAGATGCAGTGGTGTAAAGCACACCGCCACTGGACTCTAGAGCATTGGAGACTTGTTCTCTGGAGTGACGAATCACGCTTCTCTGGCAATCTGATGAACGTGTCTGAGTTTGGCGGTTGCCAGGAGAACAGTACTTGCCTGACTGCATTGTGCCAAGTGTAAAGTTTGGTGGAGGGGGGATTATGGTGTAGGGTTGTTTTCAGGGGTTGGGCTTGGCCCCTTAGTTACAGTGAAGGGAACGCTTAAGGTGTCAGCATACCAAGACATTTTGGACAATTTTATGCTACCAACTTTTTGGGAAGAGTTTGGGGATGGCCCCTTCCTGTTCCAACATGACTGCGTACCAGTGCACACAGCAAGGTCCATAAAGACATGGATAAGCGAGTTTGGGGTGGAGGAACTTGACTGGCCTGCAAAGAGTCCTGACCTCAACCCGATAGAACACCTTTGGGATGAATTAAAGCGGAGACTGCGAGCCAGGCCTTCTCGTCCGACATCAGTGCCTGACCTCACAAATGCGCTCCTGGAAGAATGGTCAAACATTCCCATAGACATACTCCTAAACCTTGTGGACAGCCTTCCCAGAAGAGTTAAAGCTGTTATAGCTGCAAAGGGTGGGACAACTCAATATTGAACCCTATGGACTAAGACTAGGATGCCATTAAAGTTCATGTGCTTGTAAAGGCAGGCGTCCCAATACTTTTGGAAAGATAGTGTATATGTGTGTGTCATATATATATATATATATATATATATATATGCGTGTGTGTGTGTGTTTATGTATATATATATATATATATGTGTGTGTGTGTGTGTGTGTATGTATATATATATATATATATATATATATATATATATATATGTATTTAAAAAGAATGGGTTGTTTTACAAGGTGCACATATTTCTTCTTGTAATAAGAGGCCATAGTTCTGTTTTAGGGAAATAATTTATTAGCACCACAGTGGCATTATACAGACATTTTTTGTATATGTAACAGGTAACCTAAATATACCTGGTATTGTTTCTATACAGGAAGTATGGCCGTGTCTTGGAAAAAGGGGACATAATCCAGCTAAAGGAAGCTTATAAATGGATAATCCACCCCTTGATTTCCAATGAATTGGGGGTCCAAGCTGTGAGCAAGGTAACGTTCAGAATTTACTAAACCCATCCATCTTATCCTTTTGAAAACAAGCACATATAAATTACGTAGTATCTATATTTAATTAAATGCCAGTAATTGGGGCTGAATGAATCTAATTACCTCCTTAATCAGCTGGACACACACAAATTGTGTCCAGGCACTACCAACGCAAGTAATTGCTGCTTCTGCAAACAGTCACTGCCGTCACCTTTCATTACATTGTATGTTCTGAGTTGGCGCAGTTATTCGCACACACCTGTTAATCTAGATGCAGGTTTCCTCAGATCCTTACTGCTGGGAATCGCAGAGTATTCTAGTTGCCCATGTGAATTCACTCTAAGGGACACAAAACACACACACTTTTTTTGCAAACCCTAATATACCAGGTCATCACTATCTGGAAGATGATGAGTGGGTGATTTTGTGACAATTTCTGGCATTATGGCCATATTTGAAAGTTCTGTGACAAAGTCAGGAAACTCCTTGCAACCATTTGCCTTCTGTTTCCATTGTGTGTTACAAATTCAGATAGTTCTTATGTGTGACACTTTTACATTCTGACACTATGACTAACAATTCATTCAAAATGACCACCATATTGTTGATAGGAAAAGTGGCGGTAAAGAAGACCTCTTCCATGTTGGAGTAAATTGTGTCACAAGCAGGGGCGGACTGACAACTCATGGGGCCCCCGGGCAATAGGGGATCATGGGGCCCCTGTGTCCTTGCCCACACTCAAAAAAGCCTATAAAGAAGGTACCAGGGGTATTTCATGGGGCCCCCTACTGACCCCAGGCCCTCGGGCAGTGCTCGAATGGTCAGTCCCGCCCCTGGTCACAAGTTACGCGAATCTGTTGTAAGTTGTGCCAAATAAGTTCCAGATTTCTAATAAGCATCTATAACACTTTTTATGAATTCCAGAGGATAATTTGACTCTCTGTACCTTTGCTGTGATCATAAATCTTATTTTATTCTATTATTTGTAATTATATAGCTCTGCAATTTACACAACGCTTTATGAACCTGTACAGTTGCCCTGCTCTCAAGGAGCCTACAATCTAAGGTTCCTATCTCACATGCATATGTACTAGGACTAGTTTGAAAAGGAGCCAGAGAACCTACTAACAGCCAGCTAACAAAAAGTAATACAGTACATGTGGACCTAATCACTTCCTTGAGCCGGCCACAGACGGATTGAAATTCAGCTGGTTTAGCAGGAACCGAACAGATTTTGATCCATCTTTTGGCAGACTGGTTTTACTGAAGTCGATTTATCGATCGATTTCAGTACAACCAGCCTGTCTGATTTTTTTTTTTTTAATATAGCTGCCAACAGTGATCACTGTAATCTGACAGCTGTGAAACCTCCCACTGTCAGAATACAATACCATAGTAGGAGGGATTCCTCCATCAACAATGACTGTATTGGTGAGAGAATCAAGCAGTATTCTTTCCCTCAGCCCCTGGTTGAAGGAAACCAAATTGCATGATGTATGGCCTGCCTTGCATTATATGTCTGTGCTTTTAGGAGCCTGTGTGTCTAGTATAAAGAGTGAAAAATGGCTAGCATAGATCTATATCTTGTAAGGAAATGCTAACATCATCATAACATATCTTCTACTAGCTGTCATTAACTCCCTTATGATCAGAGGGCACCCAGGCCACATTTAGCAGCTTCAGTATGCATATGTTAACCCCTTCATGATTACGAATAATTAAAATGACCTTATAGGTACAGTAAAAAAAAAAATGACTAACTGTAACAGAAAAAGTTATGTAATCCATCTGGCTGTGCTGTGTGACAAGGTTGTGTAAATCTCAGAAATGGATGGACAGAAATACAATCCTGTGTCAGGTAAAATCTCTCACATATTCTCTTATAGGGCTGTTTACACTATGTGCAGTTGCCTGTGTTTTTCCTTATGGATAAATGCAGGTAACTGCAATGACACACACAAAAGAATAGTTTTCTGTGTCATGTTCACAACAGCATACGGTGTTTCTCTGCATTCCAGAGCAGTGCAATGTTATGCAAGGTGTTTGCAGAATATCACACCTCTGAATGACCCTACATGTCACCGCTCAGCACACCACATCACACCGCACTGCTGTGCAGTGACATGAATGAAGTTTCACTTTTGCATTTCACATAAAGTTTCAAAAAAAAAAAAGGGAACTGTTTGATGTGATAAAACTAGGACTGCAACTAATAAGAATTTTCATAGTCGATTAGTTGGCTGATTTTTGTTTCAATTAATCGGATTAAAACCTCAAAAAAAGTTTTGTGTATAATTTAGTTATTATGAAAAAAGACCATTTATTCTTGAATATCTATATGCAGTGGTAAATATAAACAGTTATATGGTTATGGAACAAAATATCTAATCCACTCTGAGAATAACAGCAGAAGAGATGTATATGCTATTAGAGGTTGAATCATGGTATATATCATCATATAAGCTGTGTGTGTGCTGCACTGCGTATACTGACATGTATGAATGGTTCACTGAGCTGTATGTGTGCTGCACTGTGTATACTAACATGTAAGGACGGTGTACTGAGCTGTATGTGTGCTGCACTGCGTATACTGACATGTATGAACGGTGCACTGAGCTGTGTGTGTGCTGCACTGCGTATACTGCATGTATGGATGGTGTACTGAGCTGTATGTGTGCTGCACTGCATATACTGACATGTATGAACGGTGCACTGAGCTGTGTGTGTGCTGCACTGCGTATACTGACATGTATGAACGGTGTACTGAGCTGTATGTGTGTGCTGCACTGATGGATGGTGTACTGAGTGTGTGTGCTGCACTGTGTATACTGACATGTATGAATGGTGCACTGAGCTGTATGTGTGCTGCACTGTATATACTGACATGTTTGGATGGTGCACTGAGCTGTATGTGTTCTGCACTGTGTATACTGACATGTTATGGATGTGCTGACTGTAGCTGCTGCACTGTGTATGACATGTATGAACGGTGCACTGAGCTGTGTGTGTATACTGACTGCGTATACTGACATGTATGGATGGTGCACTGAGCTGTATGTGTGCTGCACTGTATATACTGACATGTTTGATGGTGTACTGAGCTGTGTGTGTTCTGCACTGTGTATACTAACATGTGTGGATGGTGCACTGAGCTGTATGTGTGCTGCACTGTGTACACTGACATACATGGACGGTGTACTGAGCTGTGTGTGTGCTGCACTGTGTATACTGACATGTATGGACGGTGCACTGAGCTGTATGTGTGCTGCACTGTGTACACTGACATGTATGGACGGTGTACTGAGCTGTGTGTGTGCTGCATTGTATATACGGACATGTATGGACGGTGCACTGAGCTGTATGTGCTGCACTGTGTACACTGTGTGGATGGTGTACTGAGCTGTGTGTGTGCTGCACTGTGTATATACTGACATGTATGGACGGTGTACTGAGCTGTGTGTGTGCTGCACTGTATATACGGACATGTATGGAAGGTGTACTGAGCTGTATGTGTGCTGCACTGTATATACTGACATGTATGGATGGTGTACTGAGCTGTATGTGTGCTGCACTGTGTATACTGACATGTATGGACGGTGTACTGAGCTGTGTGTGTGCTGCACTGTATATACGGACATGTATGGATGGTGTACTGAGCTGTGTGTGTGCTGCACTGTGTATACTGACCTGTATGAACGGTGTACTGAGCTGTATGTGTGCTGCACTGTGTTTACTGACATGTATGAATGGTGCACTGAGCTGTATGTGTGCTGCACTGTGTATACTGACATGTATGAATGGTGCACTGAGCTGTATATGTGCTGCACTGTGTATACTGACATGTGTGGACGGTGTACTGAGCTGTATGTGTGCTGCACTGCGTATACTGACATGTATGAATAGGTCCATATACATTTCATCTGTGTGTTTAGCTAGCTGTTTAGCAGAAGTTTAGCTTTACGTGTTTCCCAGAATGCACCTATTTATTATTTCATGTTTCGATGTTTTCTTGATTTTCCTCTTCTTTACACATATTTGTGGTGTGATCTAATGTGACATGGGATCGGGTTCCTCTTTTGTCGTGTAGGCATGATCACTGTGCTGAGTTCCCTCCACATGCTTGTTTACCTCGTTCTTATCGCTGTATTTTTGTTTTGTTTTGTTTTTAGAGTGCATTTGAAGTCGGGGTGGTGTTTTGTCACCAAGAAACTGATGAGGACTGCCACTTCCTGTAAGTGACACTGCCCTGTACTGTGAACCTGCTACTTTTACTCCAGCACCCTCACCAAATACTTCTCATTAGTAAACTAGGGAAAGCTCTGTAAAGGGCGTTTAGAACATTAGTCATTAGAAAATATTTACTTAAACTAGAATTAACAACTGAATGAGTCACTTAATGTCACCTTATACCCCCTTCACCTTATATATATAATAGCAACATTGTTACCCATATGAAATTGTGATCATTGAGCGTCACCAGAACTTTTTTCGTATTTTCTTGTGAGTGATAATTATAAATAGCCTTCGGCAGTGTAATCCAAATCTGTTAGCTGTGCGTCACCCTTTTAACTATTGCCAGGTCCAAATTCCACCTCTAATTCTGCTTACAATGCTGGATAAGTGTCCAGTTTACTTTCACTGTACTGTAGCATGGGTGTGTCATTTAGCTGTTACCTGTTCCTATGGATGTGGGGTTGCAGACATTGTTCTTTGAATGAGGCTTAAAGTGGGCTTGTAGGTATGGGGGGCAGCACAGTGGCTAAACGGGGGTTAGCACTTCCGCCTGGCAGTACTAGGGTCATTTGTTCAAATCCCAACCACGGCACAACTTGCCTGGAGTTTGCATGTTCTCCCTGTGCCTGCGTAGGGGTTTCCTCCGGGTACTCCGCGTTTTCATTCCACACTCCAAAGACATGCTGGTAGGTTAATTGGATCCTGACTAAATTGGCCCTAGTATGTGTATGTATGAATGTGAGTTGAATGAGGGACCTTAGATTGTACACAACTTGCCTGGAGTTTGCATGTTTCTCCCTGTGCCTGCGTGGGTTTTTCCTCCGGGTACATCCGGTTTCCCTTGAAGGCCCTAGTATGGTATGTATGTATAGGGACCTTAGATGTACACCCCTTGAAGGTTAGGACTGATGTGAATGTACAATATATATGTAAAGTGCTGCGTAAATTGATGGCGCTATATAAGTACCTGCAATAAATAAATAAAGTCTAACAGTTTTTTTTTTTTTACCTTCATGCTTTCTATGCAACCTTCAGTATGCAGCTTCCCCCAAAGTCCCTCTAATACACAAGCCCAATACCAAGACAATGATGTGCCTGAGAGCGGCTGCTGTCCCATCTTTCGGCCTCATTGGCTCAGAGACAGCAGTGGGAGCCAATGGCTCCTGGAGGTGTCAGTCACAGCCAGTGAGGAGGGAGCAGGGGCAGGGCTGAGCACCGTTCTGTGTGTCTTATTGACACACAGAACGTGGCTTGGGAGCGATCACACACGAGTGCCCCTATAGCAAGCAGCCTGCTATGGGGGCACTCGGCAGGGGGGAGGGGTCAGGTGCGCCGTGGGGGACCCAAGAAGAGAGATATCGGAGTTGCCTTGTGCAAAACCATTGCACAGAGCAGGTAAGTATAACAAGTTGGTTATTTAACCACTTGCCCTTCAGAGGATTTACCCCCCTTCCTGACAAGGCCTTTATTTGCGATACGGCGCTGCGTTACTTTAACTGACAATTGCGCAGTCATGCAAAGCTGCACCCAAATTAAATTTATGTCCTTTTTTTCCTACAAATGGAGCTTTCTTTCAGTGGTATCTGATCGCCTCTTTTTTTTTTTTGTTTGTTTGTTTGTTTGTGCTATAAACAAAAAAAAGACCAACAATTTTGAAAAAAAAAAACTGTTTTTGACTTTTTGCTATTAAACATGTCCAGTAAAAAAATGTAAAAAATCTAATTTCTTCATAAATGTAGGCCAAAATGTATTCTGCTGCATGTCTTTGCTAAAAAAAATCCCAATATGTGTAAATTCATTTACGTGAAAGTTATAACGTTTACAAATGGCGGTATATATACTGGAATTTTTTTTTTTTTTACTAGTAATGGCGGCGATTAGCGACTTAGCCCTGGTTCACACTGGATGAGACTTGGCATGCGATTTGCATGCCCTGCGACTTGCACATTGCATGCCAAGTCACACCCTATTGGAGCAGTCATATTAGCGCGGTTCCGGCTTGGTCAGAGCGGCACCGATATCAAAAGTAGTGCATGCACTGCTTTTGGTGTGATTTGCATAGACATCTGTAAGCGGTATCTTACTGCATCCGAGTATGCGGTAGGATACCGAATAGCATTTAAAAAAAAAAACGGAATACACTAAAAACACTACTAAAATACCACATGAGTTATTTTATCAAGTCATGCAGTATTTTAGTTGTGAAAACCATGTTTCAGCGGTCAGAGGGGTTCCCCACTGACAGCTGAATGCAAAAGAAAGAATTGCCGGCAATGAAAAAATAATAAAAAAAACCGTTGTGGGGTCCCCCCCTCCATACCAAGCCCTTTGAGTCTGGTATGGATTTTGAGGGGAACCCCCACGTCAAAATGTGAAAAAAATGGTGTGGGGGTCCACCCTAAAATCCATACCAGACCCTTATCCGAGCATGCAGCCCGGCAGGTCAGGAAAGGGGGGAACGGACGAGCGAGCGCCCCCCCCCCCCCCTTCTGCTGAACCATACCAGGTCACATGCCCTCAACATGCCAAAAGCTAGCATATTCTCCAACAATGAAGGCTACCGGGCACTTTAGGGAGCATGATGATTTAAGCCTTTCTCTGGGCAGCCCTTTTACAGTGTATTTTCAGTAGCTACATATTTAATGTAGCATTTACCTGGTATTTTGATTATTGTATTTGATATACAGATTTGTAAATGCTACCTCTTGTAGCCAACTGTATATCAGGAAATAACAACAGACTCTTTAGTGGACTAGACGAGCTTTGCTCAACATTCACAATACTAAGGCTAGGTTCACAGTAGGATCTGCTATCTGTTCATGTTCCCCACATCGTGTTCTAAACCAACTGCAGTTGCGATCTGCAGCAGATGTCAATGTTAAAGTGATAGTAAGGGTTCATTTTTTTTTATTAAAATAATAAACCTGTCATACTTACCTGCTTTGTGCAATGGTTTTCCACACAGCAGCCCCGATCCTCTTCTTCTTAGGTCCCTCGCCGCCACTCCTGGCTCCACCTCCAAATTGAATGCTCCCATAGCAAGCCGTTTGCTCTGGGGGCACTCGTGTGTGCTCGCTTCCGAGCCCTCCTCTGTGTGTCCATAAAACATGCAGAGTGGGGATTGGCCCCGCCCCCAACTTCCTTGTCATTGGCTCTGATTGACAGCAGCAGGAGCCAAGAGCTTCTGCTGCTGCATCTGAGCCAATGAGGAGTGAGACAAGTCAACCTTGGCTCTTGCACACGTTTCTGGATTAGGACCAGGCTCAGGTATGTATTTAGGGGGGATGCTGGGATAGCATCACGCAGAAGGTTTTTTACCTCAGTGGATAGAATGCAGTAAGGTTAAAACCTTCTGCCTTTACAACCACTTTAAGTTAATGTCACCCCAAAATGCAGGTCACAAATCACCATATCGTTTGGTACAGAAGTACCAAGTGATCTAGTTTCGGTGCATTTACTAAAGTAATGTATGTACTGCTCTTGGTGCTATGCAGTTAGATTTGAACCTATTCAAAATGAATGGGCTCAAATTGCACTGCACTGAACATGTGAATCGAACAGGATGAACTAATGGTAAGCTGCGATATAATACATTTTTTGTTTTGGGTTTAATTCTGTTTTAAGAAAAAAAGTTACAAAAAGATCAATGCAGCTACCACATCTAAGGAATTTCCAGTCTGCACTATATTACATATTTGTTTTAAACCAGATGTTGACAACCAGTGTTAGCAGGTAAGTTTATTTGATATTAAAAACCCCCCCACAAAAACACAGAAGTGAAAGATAAACAGACGCTGGCTAATTGTTAATTTGGGATTCCAAGAGGAAGAGGAACAAAGCTGAAATTTTCTTATGTCAAATAACTGTGCCCTGAGTCATGACTTCAAGTGACAAAACGAAATGTACAAAAATAACCCATAAGTGCATAGATGATAATCAGTGATCAGTATTGTAGTTAAAGATAGATAATCACCACAAAGATCACTGTCAGAGACTCCGAAATAGTGAATGAACCAAATAACACTTAAAGGACAACTTCAATTTTCACTAGAAAAAAGTCCCAGCCACATTCAGTGCTATTTGGAGTGGCCATCAGAGTAGAACGGCTCAAATAGTAATAAGACCTGACAGAGCTTCTAACACATCTCAAAAAAATATTTGTATCATCAAGACAGAAAGTAAACAGATATATCCCCTATGGGTGGGACGGGATGGAGGAATCTTTCCTGCCAGCTATTGTATTCAAGCAACTGTAGCACCTGAGTTTCTTGAATACCCAGGGACTGCATTTGATAAGATGCAGTCACTGTTCAGCCAAGAATTTTCCAAATGACACCTTAAATTTTTCAGTCAAAGTTTGTCGAGCTGGGTTGTACTGCCAGGCCCACCTCTGGCTTAAAGTGGTTGTAAAGGCAGAAGGTTTCTTACCTTAATGCATTCTATGTGCATAAGAGCGGCGGCTCTCCTGAGAGTCTCTCTCCTCATTGACTCACAGCAGTGGGAGCCATTGGCTCCCGTTGCTGTCAATCCAAGCCACTGAGCCAAAGAGGAGAGAGCAGGGGGTGGGACCAAGCCGTGCTTTCTCTGTAAATGGACAATGTCCATTCACAGGAGTGTGGCTTGGGAGCAGGGGAGGATCCAGGAACACTGTTGGGGGACCGAAAAGAAGATTGGGGCTGCTCTGTGTAAAACCATTACACAGAAGTGGGTAAGTATGACATGTCTTTTATTAAAAAAAAATGCAACCTTTAGAATCACTTTACATTTTGACCAGTTTAGCAAAAATCGGGGAAAAATTGGATCTGTGTATGACCAGCTTTACAACCAGCTGAAACTATAAGCAAAACTTAACAGGAGGAGGTAAAACCAAGATTTTACAAAAAACTTAATACACTCCTGCACCACAGAATAATATCCAACCCAGGTATGAAATGCTGCTGTGCACCAGTGTGAGACACCAAATCAAAAAATAAAAATATTAAACAGCGCAAAACAGTACCTAAACCAAATAAATATTAAGTAAGATGTATAAGATCTATATTAGTGTCCAAAAACTAAAAAATTATATATATATATATAAATATATATATATATATATATATATATATAATTGTGTCCACAACAACTCAAAAATATGAAATTCAAAATCCTTCCTCCCAGACTCCACAGTGCTTGGACAAAGAAATATTCTTCTGTGATATATGCTTCCACCATCCACCAATGCAAACCGACACAAACTGCACTCACCAGATAATAGTGAATAGTAGGCCTTTTAGGACTTTCAGGGATCCTACACCTCCTCTATAGCCTCCAGACCTCCATTCCACCATACAGAGCTATGATGATCCTTCCACTCCCTCCTTGGTCAGGACCTCCAAACCAGCTCCACCGTTGTGCCAAAGGGAAAATATTGCATATAGTGTAATATTGCTAATGGGTGTAGGATCCCTGAAAGTCCTAAAAGGACTACTATTCACCATTATCTGGTGAGTGCGGTTTGTGTTGGTTTGCACTGGTGGATGGTGGAAGCATATATCACAGAAGAATATTTCTTTGTCCAAGCACTGTGGAGTCTGGGAGGAAGGATTTTGAATTGCATATTTTTGAGTTGTTCTGGACACATATATAAAAAATATATAATTTTTAGTTTTTGGACACGAATATATATCTTATATATCTTACTTAATGTTTATTTGGTTTAGGTACTGTTTTGCGCGGTTTTATATTTTTGTTTTTTGATTTGGTGTCTAAAACCAAGATTTTGCTAAGTTAAAATTTGTACTTGACTTCAGTGGCAAGTATGGATCTTCTGCTTTATTATTTTATTTGTTTTTTATTGAAAGCAACATATGCTTATGTTTTTCGTCAGATGCTTATTTTGAATTATTTAGGCATGACAGATGTGTTCCAACTTTAACTTTTAAATAAGTCCTAAAGCTGGGCTCCAGCTTTCTGTCACTTGAAAAAACAGATGCACCCACTTTGAGTACAGTATAAACTGAATATAGCTACATACAATATACAGTGCTCTCTTTTGGCAGCAGTATAGGGACCTCTGTCTTGCTCCCTGAACAAAATTCAGCTGGGCTGAGCATTGCTCAGCCATTCACAGGAAACTTTGTATTTCCTGAATGAATACAAGGTTACCTTTTAATTGGCTGAGCAGTAGATTCTGTCATTTGCCCCCCTCTCTCTTGCAGCTAATAAGAGCAAGCCATGTAGTCATTCAGAAAACACAATCTTCCTGTGAATGGCTGAGCGTCTCTCAACCCGATTTCATTTTTTTTCAAGGAGGGGGGGGGGGGGGGGGGGATGTTGTATACTGTGATTCAGACTTCAATGGAATGTTTTTTCTCCCCAACTATAAGGGAAGCAGAAGAATAATGTGAACAAATTATATTTAATTATTTAATATTTTCAAAAAGTATTTGGAAATATCATTAGGAGAGAGCTGTTTTGTGGTTGAATATTTTTTTTTTATTTTCCCAATTAAGTCATGCAATCCTATAAACATTTGCAAAGACAAAACAATAGTGCAGGTCAAAGAGACATGGGTAAGAGTCCCAGAGTGAACAAATATCATTTCAGAATGAATATCACTAAGTATGGCAGAATGATTGCCAGTTCACTTGAATATCAATGAATGCGGTATGATGGGGACAGCTGTTTTAATCTACACTGATCATTTGACAGAATGGATTGAGAGCATGATACGTGGACTATTTGAATCATAATTAGTGGTACATTCCCTACAATAATTTTGGTTCATTTTCATATTCGTACGTTTTAAAACTAGAATTTCTTTTTCCTGGTCATGTTTTACAAACTGAAATTACATTTTGCATGATCAGTTTCCCCCTTCTGAAGTGCCAGGTTCATCAGGATGTCAGTTGATACTTTTTGATTTTGAAAAAAAGATTTGAAACAGAAAAAGAAAATTGAAACATTGAGTGTGATTTTCAAATAAAATATACCAGTTGATAATCATACATTAATATCTATTTGTTCTTAGAGCCACAGTGTGCAAGGACTGTTTCAAACCTGCTAAGAATAAACAAGTAAGTGGAAGCTGATGGGGAAAAAAAAAAACACACTTTCAGGGTACCACTGTATGTCCACTTACTGTATGTGCCTTCCGGAAAATGCTTGATAATATTGTGCCAATCTTTCTTTCCTTTCAGTTTTTTTCTTTTCTTTCTTTCTTTCCTTTTTTTCTTTCTTTCTTTCTTTAATTTTCAAATAAAAATAAGCTTTATTGGCAGGACCAATAACATTTTTAGAATTTCCAAAGCTGAATGGAGCAGAAGGATTAACATCCAAGACAGTATTAGCGAGAAAAAGATAATATATAGGGGGTAGGAGGTAAGTCCGTTAATGTTATCAGGTTAAGGGATAGTATAATGGAGGTAGGAGGTGAATCCAGATAGGGGATTTCTAATCACACACTTTTTCAGGGTTATTGAATTGTTTCCACTTGGTGGTACCGTGGTACAAGAATTATAATAGGTGTTGCGTCCTAATTCAGAACAGACATTTTAAGTTGTAGGTTATGGACTTTATAGGCATGTACACTACACCATTTGTTGTGATTAAAACAATATTGTTTATTAACATTGTTATAAAATTATCCAATGCATAAAATAAAATTCAAGTACTCAATTTGTGTAGAGTGCTATGATACCCCCCAACAATATATAATAGAGGCACCCAGTTGTAAGTAACCCAAGCTTGGTATCCGGGTCCTCCAACTGCGGGGATTCCACCTTCCACAGATTTGTAATGCTCTACATGTTTTGTGACTAAAAATCACTTCTTCAGGAGAATCTATGTAGAAAAAAGTATATACAGTAACATACATATATTATCACTTATATAACATCACTAATAGTGACTGATTGTATAGGAATATACACTTACTAAAAACAACTACTGATACTACAGCAGTGCATACACACTCCTGGAGCCAGAGATGGCTCCACAGGCTAACAAGGCCAGTCACAGAGTGGATGAGCGGACGTACAGCAGGCTGAGAGGAGACAACACAGAGAAACCATGTACTCCAGCACACTAAAAAATTCCAACAATTTCACCACTGTTAACCTATTTGTTGGGAGGGTACCTTCTAGGGTCCCCGATGATTAAAAGTGTGCCCTCATGTGTTAGCCACCATCCTGCCCTATATATACATCCCAACCAGGGTGCCCATGCTGGATCAGCATGTGACATAGCCCAGCCAATAGTTACCGCGCCTCCCAACCAGCCATAAAGCCGGAAGGGCAGAAGTCCCACTCAGCAGTTGTCCCAGCTACGTGTGACGTGTTGCAGAGTAGCACATGCGCAGCACACAGGGGACCCGCACGATGACAAAGCGTCAGTACCCAATGCCACAGCCATCATACCAGGAACAATCCATCACCAACATTTGGTAGGATGTCCCAGCATCACAGCCATGGCCCACTGGCTGCACATCTACAGAGACCAGACCCACTGGCTGCACATCCACACAGACCAGGCCCACAATCGGCCATAAAGGAATCAACAATTCATCCTCAAGGTGCAAACAAAAGTGCATAATTCATAATACAGATAACCGCATACAACAATTATGGCATTTCCCAATATAACTCCATAATACGGATGTTGTTATGAAGGTACTGCCTGTACCTTTGCTCTTAAATCTGAGTGGTTACATTGTGTATGGTATCCCTTGCCCCCCCCCCCCCCCAGGATTGTTTGGATCCATGCCTTGACTTATTAGCTTTGTTTCCCCAGCTTATTGTATTACGATTTCTCCATAGAGGCTCTGTAATTTAATCCTTGGAGTGAATTTTGTCATGTAACATCTCTTATGTTTACCTAATGTCTTCTATCTTTCTTTCATTGTGTCTTGTAACACTCAAAAAAAATATAGAATTTAAAAAAGTCACACAATTTATTGAAGTAAAATAATCAAGAATGTGCTCACATGATGCAGCTGTAAAGTAAATATTCAAAATCAACAATGTTCTGTATCCTACTAGAGAAGGATTATGCTGTCTGCCCCTGACTGCCAGAAGCAGGAGGAGAAAGTCCAGAAACATAGTCCACCACTAATGTTAGCGAACACTTTCCTACAGTGTTGGACAGTGCCGTTGAACTCCTCCAAGTATCTGCCTGTGGGTCACCACCACTAACCTACTGTAGATCACCAAGACATGTTCGTGATAGTAACTGTAAAAAGTAGTAAAATTTAAATATTTACCAGCTGTACAATGTTTATTCAACAAAACTAATCATTAATGGAATATATAGAAGACAACAAAAACAGAAAAAAGCCCATTTACATTTACTTGAGAATCTATCGTTTGTTTTCTGTTTATTCTTTTCTTGCACTGGCTGTGTGTGGCATTTGCAGTGACTGCACACAGAGTTGTTGTACAGAGCTGGAGCTCATGTGTAGAGAAGACTTATACGGAACTCCATGGGTTCTGGAGACACAGGAGGCAGAGATGGAACAGGGAGTGTGTCAGCGCAGCTGGGGGACAATCTGAAAAGTAAACTTGGAGGAGGGAATTTATATAAATAACAGATTATACATATAAGTTGTGTTATTTGTACCTGGTTTATAAAAAAAAAATAGACTTTAATGTCACTTTAACTGGAAATGGGAGGTGGGGGGTTGAGGTGGTTTAGGCTAGGTTTGCCAATTATTCCCAGTCCTACCCGGAACACAGAAAACTGATTACAAATGTACAACTGAGGAAAGATAATCAAACTAGAGTTGTTGCCTGAAGTAGAAGTCAAGTTACATTTTGAGCCCTATTCTAACTACCCTGTAGAAGGAAGATGCTTATACTTAGCTATTCCCTGGTCACTCCAGTGCAGCCACATGATCATTTCCAGCACCGGTTTTGGGGTGGAGGAGGGACAGCTGACAATGCATGACCCATAGTCAGCCTTTTGGAGACGTCAACACATTGCATTGTAGCTATTGTCAGTGATCTCCCCTGTACCATGAAGCCAGCTACAGGGGAGATCCTGTGACCAGACAGGAGTGCCCAGGGAATAGTTAAGTATACATATCTTTCCTCTAGAGAGTAGGTAGTGTAGGGTTTAGAATGGGAATGGGAGCAGTTTTAAGTGTAGGTAGGATTTGACTGGACTTCTACTTTAAGCTGACCATACATGGTTCTAAATCTTATTTTTTTTTTATCCCTTGGATAACAACCTTAACAATAGTTGTTCTTATATCTGCAGTCTGTCTTTACCAGAATGGCAGTTGTAAAAGCTCTAGAGAGGATAAAAGAAGATGATTTCTGGAGGTGAGTTCTGTAAACTTGTCTTCTCAGTACAGCTTACTTAATAACAGAACAATGTGGAGGAGGAGTGAGGTAGTATCTACCATTTGTTAATGATCTGCAGATTAATCACTTTGTTTTCCCTTCTCTGTCTTGAGTTTTTGGAAGATGTGTTTAGACTTCAAAGAACCAGTCTTTTTCTAGCCAGCAGAATCTGTCTACTTAGATGGTTATGTGGGCTGTGGCATTAATAACACAATGCTTCTAGTTACTGGTGGAAATCCTGCACTGACAAAGCAAATCAAATGTTTTTTGAAAAAGCAGCAATTCTATTTTTCTGTTTTCTATTAAGGTTGATGAGCAGAATCTTTTGTTACTCCATTGTTGATACAGTTCTGTGTATGGTATGAATACATGATTTTTCAGGCATATTAGATTTGATAAAATTGCTAAGACTTTACTCACCATGTTCCAAGGTAAGCGTGATATACTTGGTATTTGCAGGCCCCCCCAAACATGGCTCGAATTTCTGCTGATTCAGCAGGAATTGGCTGAAATTCAGGACTTCAGTGGCTATCCTAAATGTCTTTAGAGAAGAAAATTAAAGGGTTCCAGGATGCTTCAAAAATACTGACTGGGCAAGCTTGTAATTGCAAAAGAGAGGAGGAAGCAGATAAGTGAAGGCAAACTATGCTGATTCTACTTGTTTCAGGAAATAATGCCAGTTGCTCAGTCAGTGTTCCCCGTAAGAGTGGTCAGCCAAGGAGCATCTTCTTGCACTGTAGAGATTAGATTTCACCCTAGCCCACTTGAAAATTGCTGTATCAGATGATTGTCATTCATGTCAAGTCCATTAGCTGCCTAAATGAGCTTGTGATCTCTTCTGAATATCCGAGGCTAAAAGTGCTTCCAAGATGCCTTCACAGGCTGCCTGCTATCATTCTGAGGTCCAGAAAAGCCTCTTCAGTGCCCCATCTGAGTTTGATTTAAAGGGTTGCCTTTGATGAACTCTCCTTTTTGAATCAAAAAACAAGGTAAAAGCAAGCGCTATAAATCAGAAGAGCAGCCAATGCACCAAAGGATACCAAAAACCTTTCAGAACATAACTATAAAATATATATAGGGTGCGGCGCTCAAGCAATAATCAATGTATCAAAAGGTATAGCTATGGTAGGATCGACGAGCAGAGGGCGTGATGAACGTCAGCGCGCATGAGAATTAAATAAAATACATAAAGTGACTTGTGACAAGGTACCAACATATAAAGTGACTTTAGTGATATCATGTATTCCGTCACTGCAAAAGTGACTCGCGGGGACAAGGTGAACAATAATAATGGAATGAATAGTCCAAAAATGTGAATAATGGAATGAAGAGAGATCAGGATCATATCTCCAGCAATCAGTGCTCCGTTCAAACCAAATATTGAGGTGACCTATATATATGATAAGGCTGTGCACTCACCAGATGCACAGTTAATCTGCGCATGTAGAGACCATGCTCATGTAGGGCAGGCTCCTGGCTCCCATTATCAATCTGATCTGGTCAGGTGTAACCCTCACTGCTCTCCTCAGCTGGTGAAGTGGCCTCACTTCCTCCTCAAGGCTCTGTGGGTTGTTTGATGACTTTTCTATACCCACTGTATGACAGACCTACTTTCTTTCCAATAATTTGTATTGAAAATTTAAATGAAAATACAAAACACCAATACTTGCGCATATGAAAATCAGTATGCTATAGACAAGCATTTTTCAACCAGGGTGCCTTGAGATTACTTCAGGGGTGCCTTGGAAAAATGTCCAAAAATTTCCCAACACTTGTATACAAGCCTGCCCTTTAGTTATGCAAAGCCACAGGTTTTCATTACAGGCACACAGGCATCATTGTGACCTTCTAGCCGTAGGCGTCCTGACAGCCAATAACAGCATCAGTTGATAAGGAGGTTGTCAGCCGCCTGCACAACATCCTAGTTTGACCCTCCCCTGCCTCTTTGTCAGTGCTGGGGTCACATTACCTCAGTGATGGAGATAAACTGAGAGAGAAGTGAAACATTGGAATACTAGTCAGTACCAGTGTGCAGAAGTTTATTTGCTTTGAAAGAATAAATCACCTCTAATGTTGGGTGTCCTACATGTGTGGATGTTGCTGCATTATACAAAACTATTAGAATAGTTTTTTACATTTTAAAATGGGGTGCCTCAAGACTCTCCATCATTTTAAAGGGTGGCTTGGGACTGGCCATAATTTTAAAGGGTGCCTTGACTGAAAAAAGGTTGAGAAACACTGCTATAGACATACTGTATATCAAAATGCAATGGATTGCAAAAATAAAAGATAACCTAGAGTCCATTAAATATAGCCTTGTACAAGACAACTCAAAAGGTGAGACAACGTAAAAAATAAAAAGACAGGCATAATCATGTTTCCCTGTCGCTCGTTGGAGCTTGATGCTAAGAGAGGGAAAGTGAAAACACATATTATAAATAACAATCATAAACTTACTCATATGCCATAGAATTGGTAGGCATAAGAGAAAGTAAATAAGGGCCAGAGAAATTACCAAGGCCCTATTTCACCCCCCACATACTGTATGTGGTCCCATATCCATTATATGCTGTATTATGCCACATATTGTATAGCCTACTGATGATGTTAGGGATTGGTAGATGAAAGGAAAGAAAAGGAGCCAGAAAAAGAGAAAGAAAAGTTGAGGTAAGAAATGCACCCTAACCATTCAAAACTGTACTCACTAGAAGCAACTCCTAAGGCATCCAAAATATAATTGATCCAAGGTTCCCAAACATTGTCAGAGAAGGCCTGTTTATCATGAAAACAGGCCCATTTTAAGAGTACTTTGAGTTTTAAATTATTTACTTACAGAAGGATTTACCTTGTACAATAGCAATTATTAATATTGTCTGCAATTAATATATTGTTGATAAGTGTAGAAAATATTTTGCTTTTAGCATTACATTCCAGATCACTGCATCTTAATTGTCTTTATTTTTTAGACAGTTCCCATGGCCCCCATCTTTCCCAAAGACAGCCTGTGAAGTTGTGGACATGCAGTGTAATCATGCTTCAGTTTTTGTGGCAGGTACCATGTTTTCCCTTTATGTGGTTTTCAACTTAAAACTCCTATGGTCCTGTCACATGGGGGATTCGATCAGGTTTTCCTGTCAGTTTTTCAGTTGGACCTGACCAGATGGTCCATGCCTTCCTCTGGACCGGCGTGTGTAAATGGATTTGTGTCTGTTTACACCCGCCTACCTCTAATTCGATCAAAAAAACAAAAGGACTATTTGGATGGACCAGACTGCAGGCTGCATGTTAAAGGATAGTGGAGTCTGTTTACTTCTGGCTGCTCATAGAGCAGAGAGGAGACTCTCCATGTCCGCTCTGCTGAAACTGAGTTTACACTCATCTGCCATCTGCCGTGCTCTGATCCGATCAGCAAGGGATCAGCAGTCAAACCCTCTGTTGCTCAAAACAGAGGGCACCCATGTGAAAGGACCCTTATTCAGGCAGAAGAAAATCATATTCTCACTTTCATGTAGCCAAGTGACTATAGCCTTTGCAGGCCATGTGACTACTAGAGTGCCCAAAACCACTGGGGGCCCAGCACTGTCTGGGTACACAGTGACTTATGCTGGTTGTAATAGCATTTGATAAATACGTTTTAGAAAGAATGAGAAAAAAATATATATAGAAGGAGAAAACGGGAACTCGTGGTCTTGCATGCAAACATAGTACACTGCAGCCATGAAAGAGAGCATGTGATTGTTTGTTATATGCAACATTACATGAGGCTTAATGCATTGATCTAGGAAATTGATACCTATTACCACATTGCAGGAAGATACAATAAGTACTCCCGGAGTTTACCACAGACCCCTTGGGTTATTGATGGAGAGAGGAAGATGGAGTCTTCAGTAGAGGAGCTGATAACAGAACAGCTTATGGTGCTTTTTAAAGCTGACAGTAAGTATACCAAAGGTCACAAGTGTGTAGAGGGGAAAATGTACCCAGGGGTACTGTTGACTTTGGCAAATGAGGGCTGTGCAAGAACATTTGGTGTGTGTGTCCATGATCGAAGTATATAGTAATTTCACCATTTCCATAGTATATAGTAATTTCGCCCTTCCCAAGTAGAAAGATCGTCAGCTCTTCTATCAATACATTAAAAGCACAGCACCCATAAACTAAAACATCCCCATAAGACTTAAATTTCGCCTACCAAAAGTCTTAACATCTAATTAAACCCCTTAAACAAACCGTTAATGCTCCCCCAATCCTACATACGTAACCCCCCCAGCTATTACACTGGCACTCAGTCTATGTTTTAGAGAATCCTTATCGTTAAGCTTTCCACACTTGTTCAAGCGGATTAAAAAATAAATAAATAAAAAGCACCACCTAGAAGAGGGTTAATGTTCACCTTCCTGCTGCCTGTTTCTCCAATATTAAATGCATTGCAGAGCTACAGACTTTGTCAGAATGTTCTCTTCTAACACATGTACAGATGTGTCAAATGCATGCTGTAGTACAAACAAATGGCAACTGCCTCAATCTATAACTGGCCTTTGCAGCAAGGAGTACATGGAAGGGCAATGCATGTCAAAAACAACAACAACAGAGACAAATTTCAAGCTGAACTTGCCAACCGAATTGTCCTGTCTAACAGGTAACAGTATATTGGGGTGCCGTGCAGCTTACGCATGTATTTCCAAATGTTTGCAAATCAAACCCATTTTTAACGTGAACTGTCAGGTCAATTCGGTTGGTGACAGGCTGGTTGGTAAGTTTAGCTGGGAATTTTTGTTGTTGTTTGAAATGCGTTGCTCTTCCATGTGCTCCTTGCTGTTAAAGCCAGTTATAGATTGGGCTAGTTGACATTTGTTTGTACTGTTGTTATACTGGTGAGGGGACACACTGGATACCTTGGCTGCCATTGTGCCATATGCTGGGTGTCTGGTACGTCCCTGTGCCATTAAAGAAGTGTGGGCTCCCTCCAGGCTTACCTGTCCTCAGTCTATCCATTATTATACATGTGCTTCTACTATGGAGGCTCTCAAAATTTATAGTGTTAGGAACTGCAGAACATTGGCGTGCCATGAAGAGGCTCTGCAGCTTATGCATGTATTTACAACTGTGTGCAAACCCCTGTTATAACATGAACTGTTAGAACAGTTCAGTTGTTTGCAGGCTGGTTGGTAAGCTGAGCTGGGAATTTTTCACTGTTTGACATGCTGTAGTAACCTCTGTCTACTAAAAGACACAGTACTAACATAGCGGCCAGTAGATGGAACCACAGCAAGTGGTGGTGGACACAGACACCTCCATTCTTGGAAGGGTCAAATGTCAAGATGATCATGGGACAGGTGAGTATATAAACACTTCTCTTGCAGGAGGTGCTTCTTTAGCTTTAAAGATCATAAACAGTCAGAGTTTCTTCAACCTGTAGAGGGTGCTCTTTACACCTAATGTATAACTATAGTCACACTGTTTTTTTTGTTTTTTTTTTTGAGGTGTACAGAACAGGAAGTGAAAGCTTTAGTTACACAGTACTGTGAAAACGTAAATGATTCAGATCATCAAACAAATTTTAATATTACACAAAGATAACCCGAGTAAATACAAAATGCAGTTTTTAAACGATTTCATTTATTAAGGGAAAAAAAAGCTGTCCAAATCTACTTGGCCCTATGTGAAAAAGTAATTGCTCCCTAAACCTAATAACTAGTTGTGCCACCCTTGGCAGCAACAACTGCAATCAAGCATTGCGATAACTGCCAATGAGTCTTTCATATCGCTGTGGAGGAATTTTGGCCTATTCTTCTTTGGAGAATTGTTTTAATTCGGCAACACTGGAATGTTTCGGAGCACGAACAGCCTGTTTAAGGTCATGCCACAGCATCTCAATCGGATTTAAGTCCAGACTTTGATTAGGCCACGCCAAAATCTTAATTTTGTTTTCATGAGCCATTCAGTGGTGGACTTGCTGGTGTGTTTTGGATCATTGTCCTGCTGCATATGTGCGCTAGAGCTTTCGGCCACTAACCAATAGCCGGATATTCATTTTCAGGATTTTCTGGTAGAGTGCAAAATTCATGGTTCCCTCAATTATGGCAAGTCTTCCAGGTACTGAAGCTGCAAAGCAACCCCAGACCATCACACTACCACCACCATGTTTGACTGTTAGTATGATGTTCCATTTATGAAATGCTGTGTTAGTTTTACGCCAGATGTAATGGGATGCACACCTTCCAAAAAGTTCAACTTTTGTCTCAATGGTCCACAGAATATTTGCCCAAAAATCTTGGGGATAATCACAATGTGAGACGAGCCTTTGGGTTTTTTTCTGTTAGCAGTGGCTTTTGCCTTGGACCTCTCTCATGGATGCCATTTTTGCCCAGTCTTTTTTTATTGTTGATCATGAACACTGACCTATACTGAGGCAAGTAAGGTCTTTAGTTCTTCAGATGTTGTTCTGGGTTCTTTTATGACCTCCAGGATGAATTGTCTTTGTGCTGTTGAAGTAATTTTGGTAGGCCAGCCGCTACAGGGAAGGATCACCACTCTTCCATTTTCTCCATTTATGGATGATGGCTCTCACCATGGTTCCCTGGAGTCCCAAAGCCTTTGAAATGGCTTTGTAACCCTTTCCAGACTGATACATGTCAATTATTTTGTTTCTCATCAGTTCTTGAATTTCTTTAGATCGCGGCATGATGTGTTGCTTTTTGAGATCTTTTAGTGTGCTTCACTTTGTAAGACAGCTTTTATTTAAGTGATTTCTTGATTCCACAGGTCTGGCAGTAATCAAGCCTGGGTATGGCAAGTAAAATTTAACTTTCCAAAAAATGTGGTTAATCAAAGTTCTTTTAAAAACTGCATTTTGTATTTTTACTCGGGTTATTTTTGTGTAATATTAAAATTTGTTTGATCTGAATCATTTAAGTGTGACAAATATGTACAAAAAAAGAGAAAAAACAGAAAGGGGGCAAATACTTTTTCACAGCACTGTACTTTCACCTCCCCTGAAGTATATCATAAACACTTAGAGCCCATTTTCACCATTGCACTGCACTAACTAGCAATATTATTAAGCACTTTGCCTTTTTTTTTTAAAATGGGTCCAGAGCACACCTTAAAACAGGTGAACTGCAACGCACCGCAGAACAATGCAGTGTCCTGTGTATTGCATTGTGCTGTGACAAAATGCATCCTGCCCTGTTTCTGTAAAACCGTTGTGGTATGTTTCAGCTCATTTGTTTTGAATAGTTTTGTGGTGTAACTGAACCCCTAATCCCCCTCTCCAAGACATTTTAACCCTTGTTCTGATGCACAGACAACCTTTCTTTTACTGGGAGCCTCTTTGCCAAGAGCATATGGGTGCCACTCTGAAGGCATGCAGTGGTAATTAATTTAAGTGATAGTTAAAATATATAAACACAAAATAATAATGCAACCACATGATGGCACAATTATACACATTGCCATTACATTTCTACAGTTCCATGCTACTTCTGTATAACTGAATGCAGGCCAGTACTGCTGGTGTTTAATGGTTGGTATGTCTCAATATTTTTTTAGGCTTTAACTTTTCATCTTCTGGAAGGGAAGATGTGGACGTCAGGACTCTTGGTAGAGGTACTGTAAATTGTAACCCTTTGATTTTAGAAACCTGACCTCGCCATTCAAAAATGCAACTTGCCTTTCTGTTATGTTCTTCCAATGGCTCTAGTTTTCTCTGAAACATCTGGTAAAAGTATGCAGATCAAGAGTTTGGACTTCACTATGACTTTCTAACCTGCATGCTAGTGTCATGGCAGTGACTTGGCAAATATTTAAGCCAGATGCAGCCAGGTAATTAGAGTCCCTCTTTAAAGATGATTTAGATTGGGTTTTTGTATGCTGATTACAACAAAAGCTAGTATTCTTAGAGGAAGATCAGCAAATGGTAACACCACCCCACCCCTTCCTGCCTTATTTTTCACGTTACAGGTTTCTTTTAATAACTTCAAGCTGACTTGGCATATAATCTGTTTTTCACATAAAGTGCATGCATGTTGCATAATTTGTAAGTGTAACAATTTTAAGTATACCAAATTATTTCCCCTTGTAATGCTCCATTGGTCCTTTTATGCCTAGGAGACTGAAGCCTTCTGTGTTGGGACATTATCAGAAGTTGGTATCTACTTTAAGAAGATGCTGGCTCAGGATTGACACAATTGCATAATTTAAAGCAGCCAGTGGTAGCCTGATCACAGGGATATACAAAACAGAAGCTACATTGCAGAGTGATCTTGGGTGTTGCTTCAACAGGCCTGGAGGGCTTCCTGGCACCAAAAATAGTTTTTATCAGGGAGTGGGGTTATGTCTTGGGGTAACCCATTATTGTTTCCAAACACAGAACACAAATAATTGAAGCTTTTGGGTTGTGTTGTACCATTTAGATATGGGTACTGTATTCTAGCTCTTCTTCTAGAAATCAATCAGAAGCTCAACTGAGCCACCATTATGTTTGGTGCTTTCCCTATTACATGGTAACCTACACTATATTGCCAAAAGTATTGGGACACCCCTCCAAATTATTGGATTCAGGTGTTCCAATCACCTCCATGGCCACAGGTGTATAAACTCAAGCACCTAGGCATGCAGACTGCTTCTATAAACATTTTGTGAAAGAATGGGTCGCTCTCAGAAGCTCAGTGAATTCAAGCATGGTACTATTATAGGTTGCCACCTGTGCAAGTCCATCCATGAAAGTTCCTTGCTACTAAATATTCCACGGTCATCTGTTCATGGTATTGTGACAAAGTGGAAGCAATTGGGAACAACAGCAACTCTGCCACGCAGAGCTAGGCCACGTGACAGAATGGGGTCAGTGCATGCTGAAGCGCACAGTGCCTAGAAGTTGGCAACTGTCTGCAGAGCTAAAGACCTCCAAACTTTGTGTGGCCTTCAGATTAGCACAACAACAGTGCATAGAGAGCTTCATGGAATGGGTTTCCATGGCCGAGCAGCTGCATTCAAGCCTTTCATCACCAAGTGCAATGCAAAGCATCGGATGCAGTGATGTAAAGCATACCACCTCTGAACTCTACAGCAGCGGAGAGTGATGAATCACGCTTTTCTGTCTGGCAATCAGATTGACATGTCTGTGTTAAGCAGTTGCCAGGAGAACGGTACTTGCTTAACTGCATTGTGCCAAGTCTAACGTTTGGTGAAGGGGGTATTATGGTGTGTGGGGTTGGTATTTCAGGGGTTGGGCTTGGCCCCATAGTTCCAGTGAAGGGAACTCTTAAGGCTTCAGCATACCAAGACATTTTGGTCAATTTCACGCTCCCAACTTTGTGGGAACAGGTTGGGGATGGCCCGTTCTTGTTCCAGCATGACTAAGCACCAGTGCACAAACTAGGTCCATAAAGACATGGATGAATGAGTTTGGGGTGGAGGAACTTGACTGGCCTGCACAGAGTCCTGACCTCAGCCCGATGGAACACCTTTGGGATGAATTAGAGTGGAGACTGCGAGCCAGGCCTTCTCGTCCGACATCAGTGCCTGACCTCACAAATATGCTTCTGGAAGAATGGTCAAACATTCCCATAGACACATTCCTAAAGTTTGTGGACAGCCTTGCCTGAAGAGTTGAACCTGTTATAGCTGCAAAGGGTGGGCCAGCTCAATATTGAACCCTACGGACTACAGTTGCAAGAAAAAGTATGTGAACCCCTTGGGATTACGTGGAGTTTTGCATGAATTGGGTCATAAAATGTGCTCTGAACGTCATCTAAGTCACAACAATAGAAGAACACAGTGTGCTAAACATAATACTACACAAACATTAGATGTTGCCATGGTTTAATTGCACATAACATGTAAACATTCACAGTGTAGGGAGGAAAAAGTATGTGAGGCCCTAGCTTAATGACTTCTCCCAGAGCTAATTGGAGCCAGGAGTGAGCCAACCTTGACTCCAATCAGTGTGATGATATTGGATGTGTTGCTGACAGCTGTCCTGCCCTTAAAAAACACACACCTGTTTTGGGTTTACTGGTTTCAAGAAGCACTGTCTGATGTAAACCATGCCTCGCAGAAAAGAGCTCTCAGAAGATCTACGATCAAGAATTGTTGACTTGCATGAAGCTGGAAAGGGTTACAAAAGTATCTCCAAAAGCCTTGATGTTCATGTGTCCACGGTAAGACAGACTGTATACAAATGGAGAAAGTTTAGCACTGTTGCTACTCTCCCTAGGCGTTGTTGTCCTGTAAGAATGACTGCAAGAGCACAGCGCAGAATGCTGCATGAGGTAAAGAAGAATCCCAGAGTGTCAGCTAAAGACCTACAGAAATCTCTGGCACATGCTAACATTTTTGTTGACACATCAACAATAAGGAAAACATTAAACAAGAATGGAGTACATGGGAGGACACCACGGAGGAAGCCATTGCTGTCCAAAAAGAATATTGCAGCACGTTTGAAGTTTGAAAAAGAGCACCTGGATGTTCCACAGCACTAATGGCAAAATATACTGTGGACAGATGAAACCAAGATTGAGTTGTTTGGGAAGAACACACAACACTATGTGTGGAGAAAAAAAGGCACAGCACACCAACATCAAACCTCATCCCCACTGTAAAACATGGTGGTGGGAGCATCATGGTTTGGGGCTGCTTTGCTGCCTCAAGGCCTGGACGGATTGTTGTCATTGATGGGAAAATGAATTCCAGAGTTTATCAAGACATTTTGCAGGAAAACGTACGACCATCTGTCCATCAACTGAAGCTCCGCAGAGGATGGGTGATGCAACAGGACAATGACCCAAAGCATACAAGTAATTCAACAAAACAATTGCTTGCAACAGCACAGAATACGCCTTCTAGAGTGGCCCAGTCAGAGACCTGACCTCGACCCGATTGAAATGCTGTGGCATGACCTTAAGAGAGCGATTCACACCAGACATCCCAAGAATATTGCTACACTGAAACAGTTTTGTGAAGAGGAGTGGTCCAAAATTACTCCAGATCGTTGTGCAGGTCTGATCTGCAACTACAGGAAACGTTTGGTTGAGGAAATTGCTGCCAAAGGAGGGTCAACCAGTTATTAAGTCAGAAGGTTCACATACTTTTTCCTGCCTGCATTGTGAATGTTTACATGTTATGTGCAATTAAACCATGGCAACATCTAATGTTTGTGTAGTATTATGTTTAGCAGACTGTGTTCTTCCATTGTTGTGACTTAGATGATGTTCAGAGCACATTTTATGCCCAATTCATGCAAAACTCCACGTAATCCCAAGGGATTCACATACTTTTTCTTGCAACTGTAAGACTGGGATGCCATTAAAGTTCATGTGCGTGTAAAGGCAGGCATCCCAATACTTTTGGCAATATAATGTGTGTACACTCACATGTCGTGTTCACTAGCTTGTTTTCTGTTTTTAGGAAGACCTTTTGCAGTTGAACTTGTAAATCCTCATAAAGTCCAGTTTACCAAACAAGACATGAAAGATCTTCAGGAGGTAAGAAGATCCTATTATTGTGGATTTGTACCTTTCCACTTCTTTTGTTATACCTAGTGAAATTTATAGCAACACAAGGTCAACACGACCAACAACCGTCAAATGTTTAAAATAGACTTTTTTTTCTCAGCGAAAGACTCAGTAGTTTCTGACTTTTTTTTTCATGAACACTGAACAACCAGCTTTGTTTTCCTGGTTTATTGCAACTTTCATCCTCTAAAAAGGGTCTAAGGAAACAGCAGCTGTCTCGTCCTTCAATTGTCAAATGCCGGAACATTTTCAAAGCTTTAGGCCTCTTGCTCTCTGCTGCATAAAAGGGCAACATTTTTAGGTATACAGGCATTTTTTTTTTTAATGATGTAAATGCAGACCATTGTTTTTAATGTGCTTGCACATACAGGTGCATAAATATGTGCTGCGTGTAGATCAGTAAAGAAAAAAAAATATAGTTGCTGGTCAGCATTTTTGAGTGTATACGCACAAATACGCACATACTGTATGCCACACCTCCTTCATTAAAATAAAGCTAGAATTGTTATGCTTGTATGTGTACATATGTGCAAATATGCTCAACTGATATACAGCCCATCCTTGTGTATTTTCTGCCAGGAATGTCTGATGCCCATACATTAGTATAGTATGCAAAAGGCCTTCCTGGACAAGATGAACAGAGAACTGCATTTTTTTGCAGAAGAAAAAAGCAGCTCTTGGCAATGGCACACAGAAAACGGTGGTTTTCTGTGTGTCCCATTCACACTTCCACACAGCTGTCAGTGTCTCTGCATTTTTTTCCACACTGTTTTGCAGCTTGGTGTCACCCTGCTGTACTCTGATGCATAGAAATTAATGGAATGTCAATTTTTGACATTCGTATAAAACTATAAAAAAAAAAAAGGGGGAGTCTGTTCTTTGCACCATCTTGCAAAGCTTGCCCAGCATGACCACTACCCGCAGAGAATAACTGGAATGTTTTTCTCTGCAGGTAGTGTGAACCTGGCCTTAATGTTATTAAGGTGTGTTAGGTAGGGAAAAAAAGGTTTTTTTATTTGGCATCAGTAAGGCCCCTTTCACATTAGCGGAACAATCTGGTCCGTCTGTCCGTTTTGTCAGGCGGACCTGATCGGACCCTCCAGTTTCCTCTATGGAGCAGCAGATGTAAACAGATGTGTCCGTTTACACTTGCCTACATCCAATCCGCTCCTAGCCGCTAGAAACAGACAGATGGGGATCCATTCCCCATTCATTGATCGGATCGAATGGCAGTGGGATGTAAATGGATAGGTGGTCCGTTTACATCCATCCGCCCATAGAGTAGAACAGGCTCTATCTGTGTCCGCCCTGCATGACAGCCATCCACTATCTTATTCAGACTTTTATTATACAAATAGTCTATTGAATTATTGGGTCTCTGTGCAAAGCCAGAAATTTGTGCATTTTTCGATTAGAATGTGGTCAATTGGGTTCAATTTTTAGAGACCTGTATACAGTTTTTAAGCTGCTTGATTAATTATTAAAATTTTCTCCTAATTAGTTTTTGCTTGTATTGTAACCAACAAATCCTTCAAAAACATTTATATCTTTTTCAGTTTGATTTGTAAAAGGTGTATTATTTATGAATGTCTTGAAAATGAACAAATTAATCTATGGATTAATACATTTTCACAATCCCTATTATGGTTTTATTCTATAGGTCATGCTTTGTAACAACTGTAACTATATGTATTCAATGTAATTTTATACACTTACTACTTTTGTAAGTGGGAAAAAACCGTAGCTCTTTCTGAGTGCAGTAGGTTTTGTGTAATCAGATTTATTGTAAAAGCATATAGCAACTCACAAGAGTAGTATAAAGGCTCGCATGTCACATATAAAACATCTCCTACTGAGGCTTTCCAGATAGCTGGAGGCAGGGCAATCCAAGACCCGTCTGGTCGTGCTGGTGGTTTCCAGGGCTCCAAGTGAGCTAGAGGATCCAACGTCAATCACGGTGCCATCTCCGGAAGCGGAAGTGGTGTAGAGGCGGTCTGATAGGTGCAAGTTCGGAGCATGCGTACTCCTTCGTCAGGCTGTGATCATCACGGCCTGACCCTATCAGGCTGCCTCTCTACCACTTCCGGTGACGTCACCGCAATTGGCATTGGATCCTCTAGCTCGCTTGGAGCCCTGAAAACCACCAGCGCGACCAGACGGGTCTCAGATTGCCCTGCCTCCAGCGATCTGGAAAGCCTCAGTAGGAGATGTTTTATATGTGACATGCGAGCCTTTAAACTACATCTCCTACTGAGGCTTTCCAGATTACTGGAGGCAGGGCAATCTGAGACCCGTCTGGTCGCGCTGGTGGTTTTCAGGGCTCCAAGCGAGCTAGAGGATCCAATGCCGATTGCGGTGACGTCACCGGAAGTGGTAGAGAGGCAGCCTGATAGGCGTGGGTCAGGCCGTGATGATCACAGCCTGACGAAGGAGTACGCATGCTCCAAACTTGCACCTATCAGACCGCCTCTACACGACTTCTGCTTCCGGAAATGGCACCGTGATTGACATTGGATCCTCTAGCTCACTTGGAGCCCTGGAAACCACCAGCACGACCAGACGGGTCTTGGATTGCCCTGCCTCCAGAGGTCCGGAAAGCCTCATTAGGAGATGCCTTATTTGTGACATGCAAGCCTAATATACTACTTTTGTGAGTTGCTATATGCTTTTACAATAAATCTGATTACACAACTTACTGAACTCAGAACGCACTACTGTTTTTCCCACTTACATATCCACTACAGAGGAGCTTCATCTCTGACAGCTGGCTGCTACATTCTGAGTGAAGATCTTGTGGATTTAGCCTACATGAACTTTTTAACAGTATGAGGACTATGGACAATATCCCCATCACTCCTTCCTTCTAGTCCCTATTGTGGACATTGTTTCTTTTAGTAGCATACCCCTGTTATTCTCACTCTCCTAGTGCCACTATTTATCATACACACTTAGTACTTTAGCTCTTTCCTGTGTTACTTTTACTTCCACATTTTATTTCTATCCTATTGTTCCATGTATGCATTATTTTTTTCTAATTTACGTTGAAATAAAATACATTATTAAGCACTGTTTTCATTCTTTCCTGTAATGTCTGACCATTTAATTTTTTTAATTGTCAAAGCAAGTTGCTTCTAATCTGTTGATATTCAGTATTTCATAGTAAAGGGTGTTTTGTGTTTAATGTTAAAAATGTCTTTTTTTTTTTATACTCTGCAGAAAATAAACCGTTCTGACAAAATCAAAGTGCGAGATTTGCAGATAGTTACCAGGTGAGAGTATCTTACTGCATTTGTTTTGATTCCACTGATTACTAAGGCATTCTTCCTTCAGTAGCATTTTATATTTGTCTTGCAGCTAACCCTTTAAAAGGAGTAGCAATCAGTAGACTGAAATGGTTAAGTTGCTTGATTTAGTCCCTGCAGAATTACTACAGTGTGTGGTTTTGTCAAAAAAATGGACACTTTTTAAAAATCTTTTTACCAGTAGCTTGGCATGTTGTGGCTCAAAGTGGTGGTTTGCCACTTTATAACATGCTCATGAAGTCTTAGGCTGGCCATCTACAAACAGATCTTTTTTTTTTCAGTCTGTAGGCTGATTCCTCCATCCATGCTATACAGAACGGATGGACAAATCTGCGGCAGCTACTGTATTTTGACAGCCACCAGCAACGACTGTCAGAATACCCATACAGTGGCTGATAAAGCTGCTGGCCTAGTACCTTTAATTGTTCAATCAAGGATGTTGGGATGGAGGAGGCCAACAGGACCACCCACAAAGAATATTTTACCCTGTGTGCGGCCAGCTTTACAGTGCCTTCAAAAAGATTTCATACCCCTTGAAATTTTCCACAATTTGTCATGTTACAACCTAAAATGTAAATGTATTTTACTGGGATTTTATGTGATAGACCAACAAAAAGTGGCACATAATTTTGCAGTGGAAGGAAAATGATAAATAGTTTTCAAAATTTTTTACAAATATCTGAAAAGTGTGGCGTGTATTTGTATTCAGCCACCCTGAGCCAATACTTTGTAGAACCACCTTTCACTGCAATTACAGCTGCAAGTATTTTAGAGGATGTCTCTACCATCTAGAGAGTGACATTTTTTGCCCATTCTTCTTTGCAAAATAACTCAATCTCTGTCAGATTGGATGGAGAGCATCTGCGAACAGCAATTTTCAAGTCTTGCCACAGATTCTCAATTGGATTTAGGTCTGGACTTTGACTGGGGCATTCTAACACATGAATATCATTTGATCTAAACCATTCCATTCTAGCTCTGGCTGTATGTTTAGGGTCATTGTCCTGCTAGAAGGTGAACCTCCACACCAGTCTCAAGTCTTTTTTCAGATTCTAACAAGTTTTCTTCTAATATTGCCCTATATTTGTCTCCATCCATCTTCCCATAAACTCTAACCAACTTCACTGTCTCTGCTGAAGAAAAGCACCCCCACAATATGATGTTGCCATCACCATGTTTCACAGTGGGGATAGTGTGTTCAGGATGATGTGCAATATTAGTTTTGCTCCACGCATAGTGTTTTGCTTATAGACCAAAAAGTTCAATTTTGGTCTCATCTGACCAGAGCACCTTCTTCCATATGTTTGCTGTGCCCCCCACATGGCTTCTCGCAAACTGCAAACAGGACTTCTTATGGCTTTCTTTCAAGAATGGCTTTCTTCTTGCCACTTCCATAAAGGCCAGATTTGTGGAGTGCACGACTAATAGTTGTCCTGTGGACAGATTCTCTCACCTGAGCTGTGGATATCTGCAGCTCCTCCAGAGTTACCATGGGCCTATTGGCTGCTTCTCTGATTAATGCTCTCCTTACCCAACCTGTCAGTTTAGGTGGACGGCCATGTCTTGGTAGGTATGCAGTTGTGCCACACTCTTTCCATTTTCGGATGATGGATTGAACAGTGCTCCGTGAGATGTTCAAAGCTTGGGATATTTTTTTTATAACCTAACCCTGCTTTAAACTTCTCCACAACTTTATCCCTGACCTGTCTGGTGTGTTCCTTGGCCTTCATGATGCAGCTTGTTCACTAATGTTCCCTAACAAACCTCTGAGGGCTTCACAAAACAGCTGTATTGATACTGAGATTAAATTACACAGGTGGACTCTATGTACTAATTAGGTGACTTCTGAAGGCAATTGGTTCCACTAGATTTTAGTTAGGAGTTTCAGAGAAAGGGGCTGAATAATTTGTAAAACATTTTGAAAACTATTTTATCATTTTCCTTCCACTTCACAATTTTGTGCCACTTTGTGTTGGTCTATCACATCAAATCCCAATAAAATACATTTACGTTTTTGGTTGTAACATGACAAAATGTGGAAAATATCAAGGGGCATGAATACTTTTTAAAAGCACTGTAGATGGGGAAGCTGTCCCCCCTAAAGCCCGTCAGCCCTATGAGCCTGTCAGTGTTTAATGTCAGACGGGCCCAGAAGAGTGAAAGATTGTGCCAATTTGCAGAGAGATTTCATAACAAGTTTGTAAAAAATGAGTAGCTTTGGAGACTTTCATTATTGTTGGGTATGGAGTGATGAGCATCTTAATTTGTAGCAAAGCTCAGAATTTGGAGCTTTCTGTTCACATGACCTTAATTTAGTTTTGGTCTGTGTTTTTTTTTTTTTTGTAGTAGAAAAATATAAACTTAGAACAAATATGTTATTTCTGTGTAAGTTTGCATGGAGCCATTCAGTATATCAAGAAGCACTTGATGCCTGATATGTATGGGACTTAAAGTGGATCTTCAGGCAAATATGAAAGACACACAATAATGCAGCTCTGGATTTCTAAATAAATAATCTAATTTGTTTTGCACTTCATTTCAGCCTTCTGTAATACAGTCGCACTTAGACTGGGAGCGTGAGAGGCGAGAGGCAGGACTGGGAACCAGTCAGGTGTACTGAATGCAAATGTGGATGGAGAGAGGTTACCATTATAACCCTCCTTGAGTCTATAACAGAAATAAAGACTACCCATTTGTTTCTTGCCTACAAGTTGGTTGGGGCTACGGCAATGTTCCTTTTTGCCTGGTTCAGTCAGTATGTTGTTATACCCATACCTTTACTTAATTTGAATGTACACTTCAGGGAAATCTACCTAAACTACTGGTCAAAGTGTAATGTGTGTGAAATAATCAATAAAACATTGTATCAGTTCTTTGTCTTAATGTTCCCTGATACACACCAGAATTATTATTATACAGGATTTATATAGCCCAACAGTTTGCTCATTGCTTTACAATATAACGGGAGACAATACAGCAACAATACAGTTCAATACAAGAGGGATAGGAGCAGGGGTGGACTGACAACTCATGGGGCTCCCGGGCAATAGGGGATCATGGGGCCCGTGTCCTTGCCCAAACTCAAAAAAGCCTTGAAAAAGGTACCAGGGGCATCTCATGGGGCCCCCTACTGACCCCGGGCCCTCGGGCAATGCCCGAGTTTCCAAATGGTCAGTCCGCCCCTGTATAGGAGGGCCCTGCTCCTTGGAGTTTACAATCTAGCAGAACAAGTTATATTTCTGGATCTCTGTTTTATTGTTGGTACTTAGTTTGCACAATGTATTGTATGTGTAACAATACAAAACTCAATAAAATGATCTGAATAAAAAAAGTTGCTAATGAGTGAAGGAGGTTTTAAATCATTTATAAAAAGGTCCATTGAGTTAAAGGTTTCATCTGTGACAGACTGTCATCATGACAGGATATATAAGCCGATTCACCTGACAAGAAAAAAAAAAGAGAAATAGCTATTTTGTAATTCACCATGAATTAACTATGCAAAGACAGTATATGCCGAGTTTGAGATCACTAAAGTGTGTGCTATTCCATGAAAGGAACATTGAAATAGTGCTTTGTTACAGGGAGGCAGTTTCTCATATGAAGGAAGGGGAGGAAGAGAAGACAAAATGTTACAGCGCTCTTATATGGACAGAAAAACCCATCAAAAAAGAAGATCTTCAGCTTCTAGATGATGTTAAGGTTTGTCTCTTTTGTTAATGTCCTTTCCTAAAAAAATATTTCTGTTGAACAAGGCTGTTACATTTCACTACATGTGCACCTCTAGTGTGTATTCTTGATTTACTATACATGCTTGAATTCCAGCTGATTCTTGTGAATCTTTGAAATTTGAGCTGAGGATTCCGCTGCCAACACTACCTGGGTTAACAAAGTTGAAAATTTAACAGAGTTAGGCAAAAAAAAGTAAGGCGAATAGTGACTGCAGTCGGCCACTGTTTGGTTATTCTGACAGACACAGGTGCCAGTTGTCAGAATAAACTACCTCATGGATGGAGATTCAGCCATCAATGTTGTTTGGCTTGGATGGGGAAAATCTATGGATTTCTCTTGTTCAGCCCCCTCAGCTGAAGAAGAGACAACTTTGTGTGTATACTTAGCTTAGGACACAGGGAAGACAAGGGATTGACCAAGCATCCTTTGAAGGACCTACATAATTTTTGGACTCTCCAAAGTATAACTTTATTAGACTTTTATTCCTCCCTAGTTAGATTAGCGTTTCTGATAACTGTTCTTTTATAATGTCTTTGGGAATCTTCTATAAACAATAACAATATGGGACCCAAGAAAATGTACATAGTATTGTTAATAAATCTATATTAATTAATTGGATATTTTAGATTACCATATCAACGCATATTTTTATAGTCACTCTGATTTTAATACTCCTATTGGAGCACAGTTGGTAATAATTCCATACCCTATATTGATTGGGACTTGTCATAGTTGTGACGTCATCTGACCGATGTTTACTGTGTATATTTACAGATTGTCCTCATTTATGCGGTAATCTTTATGGTTGTTATTGATTTAAGTTTGTCATGAACTATGTACTTTTATAAATTGTGGTGTTCCATTGAATATTAAAGCCACAAGTTAAAAAAAAATTATCTTATGTATAAGGTTACTATAGAATAAAGCTTTGTTTAGCCCATGAAGAGGAAGTGGATATCAATGTTTATTGAAATCCTTTTAAAGAAGAATTTGTGTGATAAATCTCATAAAAACCGGTGTGGTATGAAAGGCAGGATTTCTCTATATCAGCAGAAATTTCTTACATTGATAACTATGTGATGCAGTGGAGAGAAAGGTGTTACTGGGTAATAGACCTTCTCTTGCGGGGTATGAGGGGCTTTACCAAGTGTATTGAATTCAATTTTTCTAACAGGCTGTTATGTATTTTGCATATACAGTAAGTGGGTTTCATTTATGAAAGTATCACAGTGTCATCAAAGCAGCAAATTGTATTTTGTCAATCGTACAGTACAGGCCACAGGCTCCTTTAAATAATGACACTGGGATATCTTGACCTTCAGGTGAGGCCACTTGCAAACAAAGTTGTTAGGAGATCTGATATAACCCCTCCCACTCATAGCAGTCCTCAGTTTTTTGTAGGTGACCTTGGGTGATGGATGTTCTCGCTCTCTTCTGGGGGCAGGCTTCTGGCCTATATTTCTAATTTATAAGATGATTAAAGACTTGCTTGGTTCTTGACACAGAGAAGCCCCTTCTCCACCTGGCTGCATCAACACCACTGAAGCAATATGATTGCAGCTTTTGGGTCAGTCACTCCACAGCAGCTACTGCTTTGCTTGCTTTAGAATCTGCAGTTTGACATTGCATGCTATTATTAAAGCGGAGCTCCACCCAGAAGAGGAAGTTCCACTTTAAGGACTGGTCCCTGTTAAGGATTGGCACCTTTGGGGAGTGGGTACCTGAAATTGATAGGTACCCGCTCCCACTTCTGCTGCGATTGCCTAGACGATCGTAAATGGAAGTTGTCCTCCCCCTCTCCCTCCCCATAGTCTTCTGGGACACATGATAGGTCCCAGAAGACTACGTGACCATTCAGAAAGCATACGCAATGGGCACCCGGCTGTGAAGCTGCAAGCGGTCACAGCTGGGTGCCCACACTGAAGATGCCTGTGTCGGGAACACAGGACAGTTGGTGAAACGGGGGGACACCACGGGATCGAGGGACAGGTGAGTGGCTGTTTTTTTAAGTCAGCAGCTACAGTATGTGTAACTGCTGACGTTTTAATTTTTTTTTACATTTCACTGGAACTCTGCTTTAAATCTATGTTCTAGCAGAAGACCCAGATCCTTCCCGACCATTGACTGCCCTAGTTGTGATCCTCCTAGAATGGACAATGCATGCATGTTTTCAGACCTCAAGTGAATAACTAACTTAACATTTTTCAACATTAAACCTAATTTGCCACCTAGTTGCTTAACAGTGCAGGTCTAATTGTAAGTTGAAGACATTTTGTAAGAATGCTATTCTTAGCATAGCTTGGTGTCATCTGCAAACATAGAAATAGTACTTTTATTCTCAAACTCTATATAATTTATAAATAGGTTTAAAAATATGGGTTCCAGTTTTGAACCTTGGGGTGTATACACCTCCTGAGGCTGAAGGTTGTAAATGCCTTCTGAGCTGGTCCAAATGTACTTAATGGAATTGGCCCGGTCTGTAATTGTATTGCTGCAATAAGGGAAATTGTTGGCATGAATAGACATCAAGAATGTGAATTTATATGTCTGCATTTTTTGCCTGCAGCTGTTGTTCCTCCATTTAGCAGTGGGCAAGCCTCTATGCAATGATCAGGATATCTCTGATCTGGTGGCTGACCAGCCTTGAGCTGGAATCGAGAAAGTCATATCTCCTGTTAGCCTGGACGGTTCTCACAACAGATTCCAGCCTATTAGTCTGTAAAAGTGTCCTAGGAATGGAAAGGGTTCAATGGACAAGGTCATCAAGGAAGTCCAGACTTCCATATGATATTCTCAAACTAAGATCCATTCGTCTATCCCTACTGACTTGGAACAACCAGTTTCAGGGCCTGTCAGCAAGAGTTCAGTCAGACAAAACCACAGCCATGGCTTCAGTCAGCTGTCAGAGCAGCACCAGAAGCTGTGCGACCCTTCAAGAAGTGGACCTAGATATGCCTTTGACTGAAAAGCGCGTTTGAGTCTTGACCACATTCCCAGAAAAGTCATTTGACAGTTATATGCTGCTGGATGCGTTGGAAATGGTTTCTTCACCCTGAGGTGTTCAGGGACATCTGTCACCGCTGGGGGACACCAGACGTAGACCTGTTAGCATCCCAATTCAACAAAATTGGGAACAGATTGTCCAGGGCTCCAAAGGTCTTTACAATGGACACACTTGTGACCCTGTGGGATCAGATACATGTGATATATGCCTTTCCTCTGCCACAGATTCTCCCATGACTGCTTTGCAGGATGGAGACAAGACATTCCAATGATCTTGGAGGAATCAAATTGGCCCAGAAGGACTCCGTGTGAGTTTATCTCTTGGCTACTATGTTCATTCAAATTTCTGATTCTCTGTTTCTCCTGCTTGCAGGTAAATCTAGGTGGTTAAGGCAGGTTATTCTAAAAGCTTATGCCTTGAAGGTTAGTACTCTTCTTTTCCCTGGTAAGTCTCACTCAACTTGTTCAGTTGGTGCCTCTTGGGAACTTCAGCACCAGGCTTCCAGGAATTGCAGTGTTGTCCCCTGGTCCTCTGTTCTTACATTTGTGAAGTTCTGGTGGATGTTTAGGCTCTGCTACTGCTGGCTTTGGCCGTAAAGTGCTTCAAGCTGCTCTTTGAGCTGGGATCAGCTTCCTTTTGGACCTGTTGGTATTGCGTGCTGTGTTTGATGTTTGCCTACCCCTCATTTGTATTGCTTGGGGACATTTCATATTTCAAGGAGCCTGTGCCCTTTGTGTTGTTTTAAATAAACTTAAATTATAATAATGATAATTATGAAATAATTTCAACTTACCTGTAAAATAATTTTCTTGAAGTACAGTACAGAACACAAGACACCCTTCCCTCTGTCCTGGCATTTTCCCTCTGTTTGCTAAAAAAACGTGATTGCTTGGGGTTGGGTGGGGTGTGGTGGGATGGATATTTGGGCTTTCCTAACATCCACATTTGCCAGTGTCCTCACCTGAAGGAGTACATAATCCATGGTCAAGAGTAGAAGGAGCCCATACTGTACTCCCAAGAAAAGGATTTTACAGGTAAGTCAAAAATCCTTATTTCTTTTTCTTTTTACATGCTGCAAAAAGAGACGTCCATTATTCTCACTGGCATCTCCTGTCAGGTGTGTAAGACTTGACAAAAGCTGTTGTTCCATGCTGGGCCCATCTGAGCAGTGTTAATTGTGATTATCTACAGTATATTAGAAAATAGGAAGGGAATCTTGGGAATGCACTTAAGGTTCTTGTCACCCTAGCAATCCCGTCACTGGCAGCAACTCAAAGCTATAGTTTGCCTTATAAAACCAAAAAAGCTTTAGTATCTTGCCAGCCAGGGTGTAGTGATTGAGCAACACCTTGCTGGTTTGGCCAACAAGGGAACAGAAATGTAGGAGTGGTTTCATTATGTAAACTGGCCCTCTTATTTCACCATCTAGAAGCCCACACTGAGAAGTGTTGTATAGCCATTAATGTAGTGCTTGCAGGTAGACATAAAGTTGGGGATTTACTAGACCTGGTGCAGCTGTGCATAGTAACCAATCAACTTCTAACTTCAGCTTGTTGGATTAAGCTTTAACAATATTATTATTATTATACAGGATTTATATAGCGCCAACAGCTTGTGCAGCGCTTTACAAAATTAATAAAACCTAGAAGCTGATTGGTTACTATGCACAGCTGTACCAGATTCTGTGTGCATCAGTTTTAGGAAATCTCCCCAAAGATACTCTAGGACAGGGTTTCTCAACCAGGGATCCTCCAGCAGTTGCCAGGGGTTCCTTGAGCAATGAGCAATTTTTGCCTCTCGGGTAAGTTCCCACTGACACCATTGATCTTTTTAGCAATCTGAAAGGGGTAATTCTTCCCAGTGACCACAAGTGCAAGGAGCATTCGTACCTCTGACTATCAAACTAATGTATCATGAATTGTAGATAAAGCCATTTTTAGCAGGGGTTCCCTGAGACCGGTAAGTTACGTCAAGGGTTCCTCTTTGATGAAAAGGTTGAGAAAGGCTGTTCTAGGAGATTAGCAGCCTTGAGATGCAACACATGGATGAAAAAGGTAAAAAAAAGTATTTTATGACAAACCGCAAACTAAATATTATTCAACCAAAGATGTGTACCGCTCCAGGCTGGTCCACATTATTCTATTCACACAGTAGGTGCAAATCCAGCTCATCAGTGAGGCATCAAAAGAAACTTGATGACCACACTCCTGCAAAATACTTTGTTGTAATAAATCGATAAAACAACATGGCAAGAGAGGAAACTGCCAACACATTTCACAGTACAAGCTACATGCAATACATGCTCTGCACACTACATAGCTATGCTATAATTCATAAAACAGCATGGCAGGAGAGATGAGACTTCCACGGTATGCTATAATTAAAGTGGAACTTCACTCTCTCAATTAACATGGACTATTTTTAATCCATATGCTGCAAGCATTAGTAAATAGATAGGAATGTCCATCAAATTTACTTGTTTTAGGGCCAGTTCACTTTACATGTATTTCAGTTGCTTTTTTTCTGCATCTAAAATGCAGAGAAAGTAGGTTATATAGTTGTCAATGTCATAGTTCACATCAGTGCTTGCAGTTCCAGTGCGTTCCAGATGTAGAAAAAAAAGTAGAACAGGCTGCATTTTCCTGCAAGAACTGTACTGGAACGTGGTAAAATGCATCAAAAACACACTGGAATGCACATGTCCCTTTTTAAATTGAAGAAAAAGAGGGGGGGGGGGGGAAATGAACTGGAACGCATCAAAAACACACTGGAATGTGCCAAAAACACATAAAAAACATGCATGCAGAAATGCATCTGGAACACATCTGGACTGTGTTCTGTAGCGTGAACCAGTCCTCAAACTATTTATTTTACATTTATTCAATTACTTCCTGGTTTCTTGCCTAGGCAAGTGATGTCATACATCCCAGTAGTCTTGTGGAGGGAAGGAGGGGTTTTCTCAGCTATGCACGCCCCCCTGTTTGTATGTCTGAACTAAAGGCAGATGGATTCCAGGAAGTCAATGCTACATTAATCATCTGCCCTTATTCAAAATGGCCATGACCAGAAATGCTAGAGGGGTGTTTCTCAAAATGATTTTTCAGCAAAATAAAGCTGACATGGATGGATGGGGGAGTTTGCTTTGAATATTAAAAATTAATTAATTTAGCATTTTTGCTTTGTGGTACTCGAATGCAATGTAGTTTTGCTTTAAGCACTTGTAGCATGAGACTCGTTGGAAGTCTCATTTCTCTTGCCGTGCTGTTGTTTTATGGATTTATTACAATAAAGAAGTATTTTGCTGCAGTGCGGTCATCCATTCAAGTTTATTTTAAATAATATTCAGTTAGGATTTAAATCTACACTATAGAGTGAATCAATAGGTCCATAAAGCAGCATATTTTCTCTTAGTAAAAAGACATTTCTTTCAGGAGTTGAAGATTGTACAGAAGACTCCTCTTCGTGTTCTTCACCGGCGGCCTCTGGCTTCAAGAATACGACTGATTCATACCATGAATACGGAATATGTGGATGAGCACTATTTTCGACTGTATTTAAAGACACAAGCCGGGACGTATCCTTTTTCACTATCATAAAATTACTTTGCTTCATAGTAATTTTTAATTTTTGGTGGAAATAACTGTTAAGAACTGTAAATAAACAGTATAAATACATATCAGAGTTGCTGATGCATACATTGTTTGCATCCCCTCTGTAAATTGTTATTCTTGAGCATTCTGCCCTTATAGTCCCCCTGAGACTCAGACATTTATTTATTTATTCATTTCAGGTACTTATATATCAATTTACACAGCTCTTTACATATATATTGTACATTCACATCAGCCCCTAACCCTCAAAGGGGGTACAGTCTAAGGTCCCAAATTCACATTTATACATGCACAGGCCAATTTTAGAAAGGAACCAATTAAACTCCCAGCATGTCTTTGGAGTGTGGGAGGAAACCGGAGTACCCGGAGGAAACCCATGCAGGCACAGGGAGAACATGCAAACTCCAGGCAGGTGGTGCCCTGGTTGGGATTTGAACCAACGACCCTAGTACTGCCAGGCGGAAGTGCTAGCCATTTAGAGGTTTTGGGCTAAAGAAAGAGGTTCTTTGTTGTATAGCATATGATCCTAGGCAGAAAGTGAGAGCTTGCTGATATTCTATATCACGTTTGGAACTCTATTATATAATATTATGTACCACATACCGAAAAAAAACACTCTATTATCTGATATTATGTATCACATAACCAACATACTGCAGACTCTTATCTGATAATGTGTATCAAGTGAACATATCAGGAACTCTATCATCTGCTCGATGAAACAAGGCTCTGTAAACTAGTAGAAACACATGATATTTCCATACACTTTGTTTTTCTATTCACAATTGAGTGAGCATTATGTATTATATATTTTCAGTGCTTTGTTGGCTCTTGTAGGGTTTGCTTCAGTTGCTGAGAGTAAATTAACTAAAGATTTACAAACTTGCTTTTAATTCTGTATCTGTAGGCCAGAGGTCTGTGAACTCAGGAGTATAGAATAACCCAAGTCTGTCTTTAGATTCCCCCTCTTCCTTTCCTTTGTCCCTTCCCATAACTTATCATGCTAGTAAACATGCACTAGACAGAAGATTTTTATTTGTGCAGTTTGTCTAAGCAGCATTACAGAGGAGTGAACACAGATTGCTTTGTACATAGCATTGTCAGCCTCCCAGGCAAATGAGTAGAGATGAGCGAATTATTCAAAAATTCGATTCGGGCCGATTCGCCGAATTTCAAGAAGAAATTCGATTCGATGCGAATTAATTCGCTACGAAGTTTAACTTATAAAAAGGGTTTCTAGGCTTCAGAGAGCCTTTAAATTAGTGCAGAACACTGTACCTTTAATTTAAATGCCCTTGGAGATGAGAAGGAGAGAAGGGGAAGGAGAAGAGAAGAAGGATGAGAAGAAGGAGAAGGATGAGGAAGAAGGAGAAGGATGAGAAGAAGGAGAAGGATGATGAAGAAGGAGAAGGATGAGAAGAAGGAGAAGGAGAAGGATGAAGAAGATGGAGAAGGAGAAGGATGAGAAGAAGGAGAAGGATGAAGGATTGAGAAGATGAGAAGAACTGAATGAAGATAGAAAGAAGGATGAGAAATGGAAGAAGGAGAAGGATGAGAGAAGGAGAAGAAGAAGGATGAGAAGAAGGAGATGAGAAGAAGGAGATGGTCGTTGAGAGAAGGAGAAGGATGAGAGAAAGGTATGAGAAGAAGGAGATAGATGGTTCGAAGAAAGGAGGAAGGATGAGAAGAAGAGAAGGATGAGAATGAAGGAGAAGGATGAGAAGAAGGATCGGAGAGTAAGAAGGAGAAGGAGGAGCCCCTTTGTGAAGGAGAGGTGTATGAAGGAAGAAGGATGAGAAGGAGGATGAGAAGTAGGATGAGTAAGAAGAGATAAGGATGAGAAGAAGGAGAAGGATGAAAGAAGGATGAGAAGAAGGAGAAGGATGAGAAGAAGGAGAAGGATGAGAAGAGGAGGATGAGAGAAGAAGGATGATAGTGATGAGAAGAAGGAGAGAAGAAGGAGAAGGTGAGAAGAAGATGAGAGGAAGGAGAAGGAGATGAGAGAAGGATGAAGAAGAAGGAGAAGGTGATTTTAAGTATGAGAAGGAGAGGATGAGAGTAGAGGAAGAAGGAGATGGATGAGGTGGGGGGTGGGTTGAGGTGGTTGGGGATAAGGAGCTGGATTGGAGAAAGAGGGATGAGATTTTCTGAAGGAGGTTGGGGATGAGGGAAGAAGGAGAGAGAAGAAGGTTTTGTTAGAAGAAGGATGAAAATAAGAGAAGGGGATAGAAGAAGGATGGAAAGAGATGAGAAGAATGAGAAGGATGAGAAAAGGAGAAGGATGAGAAAGAATGAGAGAAGGATGAGAAGAAGGTTTTTTTGAGAAGAAGGAGAAGGATGAGAAGAAGGATGAGAAGAAGGATGAGAAAAGGATGGAAAAGGATGAGAAGAAGGTATGAGGAAGAAGGAGAAGGATGAGAAGAAGGAGAAGGATGAGAAGAGAGAAGATGAAAATAAGAGGAGAAGTGATGAAAAGAAGAAGGGATGAAAGGATTAAGTTGAGAAGAAGGAGAGAAGATTGGGGTGAAGGATGTGAAGAAGAAAGGGATAGAAAGAAGAGGGATGAGAATGGAAAGGATTTGAAGATGAGAGGTGAGAAAAGGAGAAGAGATTTTGAGAAGAAGGGAGAGGAAATGAGAAGAAGATGGGAATTGAGAGTAAGAGAGAAGGATAATAGGTTTAAAGAGAGGAGGATGAGATGGAGAAGGAGAAGGATGAGATGAAAGTTTGAAGAAGGAAGGAGAAGAATTGGAAGGATGGATGTTGAAGAAGGATTTTTTTTTTTTTTCTACAGGATGAGAAGGAAGGAAGAATGAGAAAAGGATGAGAAAGAAGGTTTTGATGAGAAGTTGAAGGTTGAGAAGATAGAAATATGAGAAGAAGGATGAGGAGAATGATTGAAAGAAGGAGAGAATGTAAAGGGAAGAAGAGATGAGAAGAAGGAGAAGTATGTATAAGGAAGAGAAGGGGAAGGAAAAGAAAGAAGTAGGAGGGAATGGAAGTAGAGAAGAAGAAGGATAGAAGGTTTAAGAAGGAAAAAGAAGAGACAAGATATGAGGAGAGGGATGATTATTTGAGAATAAGGGAGTAGGTTGAGAAGAAGGAGAAGATGAGAAGAAGGAGAAGAAGAAGGATGAGAAGGAGAAGGAATGAAAAGAAGGAGAAGAAGGAGAAAAGGAGATGATAGACTTGGATGAGAAGAATTGGATGAGAAGAAGAGAAGTTAAAGAAGGAATTTTTGTCATGAAGTCATTTTTAATGATTTCTACGAGTTTTGCCTTGAGAAGGATAATTTGAAAAGGTTTTGGAATGAACATGAGAAGAAGGGAGTATAGGTGTTGGAAAGAGCTGGATGCTTGAAGGATTGAGAACAAGAGTTGAAGGTAAGATCAGACCTCGATTGAAGAAATAAGAGGAGAAGGATGCAGAAGGAATTAGGATAAAGGCAGATCTAAAACAGAAGGAGCAGGAAGATGAAAGAGTTTGAAGGAGAAGATGAGAAAACAAAGATGGGAGTATGGAAAAGAATGAGAATAATTAAGATGGTGAAGGATGTCAAGAAGGATACTTCTTTAGGATATTTTGTTGAGCAGGATGAGAATTCTGAAGCATTGGATGAAGAAAAGGGAGGAAGTTTGAGAAAGCTCCTGAGAAGAAAAGCAAGATTAGGATGTTGAAGAAGGTGAATTTAATGGATTGAGAAGAAGGAGATAGCATGTGAAGAAGGAAGTTCCAGAAGAAATGAGAAGGAGATGAGCAGGTTATGAGAATATTTTAGGCTGAGTAAGGACGGAAAAGGAAACTGTATTTTTTAAGGTCAGAAGAAATTGAAGGAGAAGGATGAGATGAAGGAGAAGAAGAAGGATGAGAAGAAGAGAAGGAAGGATGAGAAGAAGGGAAGGGGGAGAAGATCGAGAAGAATGGCAATAACTTTTTTCAAGTACCATTAATGTATCAGGCTTATTTTTAGCTTCTTCTGCTTGGAATGAAGGAGCTTTCTTTTTTTTTAAGGAACTTAAGGAATCATTTTTCCTTTTCTTTCTTGAGGATGAGCCATGAAGAATGAATGTTTCTGAAGGAGCCGGATGAGGATGAAGTTTAAGAAGAGAAGTAGGATGAAAATAAGAACTTTTAATTTCCAAGCCTTGCAAAAAGTGAAAGAGCTAAAGTGTATCTGCAGAGCTCCGCTATTTCGAGACAGTCCCTCTAGTGAAATGAGGATGAAAACAGGAAATAAGGCGGTTGAAACATTGTATCTATTTGTTTCCATAAATGGTTCCATTTATGGAAACAAATAGATACAATGTTTCAACGCTGTATGGAGTGAATGTCACAGAACTGTCAGAAAATAGGCTATTTCATGACAGTCTTTTTGACAATCCCAAAACTCAAATACAGCGGTTGAAAACCGCTGTATGGAGTGAATGTCACAGAACTGTCAGAAATAGCCTATTTCTGACAGTTCTGTGACATTCCCTCCATACAGCGGTTTCAACATGCCATTCACAAACAGATGGTTGAAACATTTAATCCAAAAATTTGTTTCCATAAATGGAAACAAATAGATACAATGTTTCAACCGCTGTATGGAGGGAATGTCACAGAACTGTCAGCAGAAATAGCGGAGCAGAAGAAGTAGGATGAAAATAATAATAATTCCAAGCCGGCAAAAAGTGTATCTGCAGAGCTCCTCTAAGTGTATCTGCAGAATAGAGGAGCTCTGCAGATACACTTTTTGCCGGCTTGGAATTATTCTTATTTTCATCCTACTTCTACTTCTTCTTCCTACTTCTTCTTCTTCTTCTTCTTCTTCATCCTCATCTCTCAGAAGAAGAAGAAGAGGATGAGGATGAAAGAAGAAGAAGAAGTAGGATGAAAATAAGAATAATTCCAAACCGGCAAAAAGTGTATCTGCAGAGTTCCTCTATTTCTGACAGTTCTCTGACAGCTCCTTCACATGTAC